CACGCGTCAATCAGGTTGAAAACACGGTAGGCACCGGGAATAACGTGTCGGAACGCTTAAACGTCTGTCTCCCGTCGTACCTAAGTAACTGAAAAAGAACAGTGATCATAATCAACTCGTCTGCGTCCTAATAGGCGCCCAACTCGGTCAGAAAGTCTCAGCGCACCTCCCGCACTTGGTAGCTACGACCAACGTGATAAGCGAAGCACTTTCACGTAGCCGTATCAAGGTAACAGAGATCTTCGCTATCTTCAGTTTCAATTGAACGTTTCGAATAACCATGTTCCTTGCACACGACGCAGATGCTATCTCGAGCTCCGAGGCCACTGTACGCGCGGAATGCCCAACCATTCGGCTTCTTGAGACTGTAGTTCCACACCACGGTGTAGATGTTATTTTACAACGCCTACACACATGTAGATGTTACATGCTCACTGCATTCGCGGTACACGGATCTACTTACCCATCTCTGAGGGCTGTAGGTGCGACGACGAAGATAACAGCGGGGAAAGGCGTCATCAAAACTTAGAACGCAAGGAAAAAATCCACGGAGAACCGTTACAATATGGCGCCGGGATGTTTGTAAACATACTCTCGTTACCGTGCTCTGGTTCCCCGGTTTCGAAACAAAAATGCGTTTAGCATATTTAAAATTATTTTCGCAACGTAGATAGCTTGATCAATTGAGTATATATATTCCCATTTTTTCTTTAAGTTAAATTGAGAGCTTAATGACTTCGCAATGAAGCACACTCTCATACTCTCGCAGATCAGCATAGGTTTGCTTCACCGAAAGACACCGCTGTATTGCAGGGAAAGGTGCTCGCTGGCATTGGCACAGGTGAAAATGTCCTGTCCAAATTCCCCTTCCGACAATACAGTACATATGCACTGTTAAGGTATTGGTTGTGGGGGTGGCTTGTCTGTGGCCAGGAAGGCACACAAAGTCAGTTAAAAATGATTATTATGGAATAAAAATACTGGAAAGCAGCCTCAGACACAAGGATGAAGTAAAGGCACTAACACAACAAAACAATGGATGACCTTCATGTGTAGTTTGTTTTATGAAAAGGAAGCATTTTAGTCTTATTACATTAACACAAACACACATGCCAACCAGGCAGCTGGCAATCAGAGGGATAGAGCCTTACAATGTGGCAGTGCTAAACTCCAATTTATGAATAAAGAATTTTTTTTTTTTTCACTTTGTTTTGTAAGAGAGGTTGTTTTCCATCATGATTAGTTTCGCTCTTACCAACTATCCCCATCTACCACCCTACTTCGGCTAGTTACACTTGAAAAATCTGCAATGGCAAGAGGAATGCTAGCGAGTTCATTTCATTGCCAGAAAATTGATGGCGTTGTCTCACGTGGTAAGAACAATGCACGCTCATGAATGGACTGTGTGAGACCATCAAAGTGCAGGCAGTGACTCTACTTGATATTCTGGGGACTGAACACAACTGCCTCAGGCTACTCTTAGAGAGAACCATAGCGGAGGTCAAGGAACCGGTACAGCAACACAAGCCCAGTTTACCTATGATATGCAGGTCTTCCATTCCCTTTGTAACAATATACAGGACACCAGATTGTGGGTTAGTACTTGAATTTCAGCATCGAAATACACGTGAAAATATATTCCTGGTCTCGCAACATTCAAGGGAATAATGTATCTCGTTACATTTTCAACTGGGCTTGTCATGTCATCGTCCCAACTACCGAAATAGTTATCTTCACCAAATGCTTCATCAGCTTGCACAAGCAGCTGACACCAGTTGAGAACAAGCTAAAAGATCGTGAGGAGATACTTTGTAAAATGGCAGGACGGCGGCTTCTGTGATACTACAAAGCCAGTTTCCTTTAGACAATATAACATAAGATTATCATATCAACCAAGTATGCCTCCACGGTGTAGCCCTCGAGCTTGATCGGGGATGCCAAGCTTCTTTGCTTTGCACTGCGCGCTCGCACAAAGCTCCACCGCTTCACCAGACATGCTTGCATGAAGCTTCACACTTTACACGACAGCACTACGGCAAAGCATCTTAATTTTTGCGGGAGGTGGGGAGGGGGGGGGGGGGCGGCTCAACATTTTGCAGACCGGTATTTTCAGACTTCGAAAATATTCAAAATTACCGAATAGTCCTATTCGATTCAAAGTGTGAATCGATTACGGCATTATTCGCTTCAATATTTAAAAGTTATGAATATTTGCACAACCGTTGTCTTCAGCATTATTTACAATTTACAAGGAAGCTGCTATCATGTCTACCTTTCACGGGATCTTCCGAATCTTTTGTTCAAATCGTGATTATAAACTTTTGGACTTCGACCCAACGGAAACTATCCATCTGCACACTCCGCAAGGACAATTCACTGAGGCGGTCATTGGCCATCATTGATCGAAGTCTGTGTTATGTCAATCTGGGCCTACAAAGAGATTGTTCACCCGTGCAGTTTGTAAACATAAAAAAAATAAAAATCTAGAATGGGTACATGAACACCTAGAAATGAGCCTTGAAGCTTTTCTCAGACTACAGTTTTGGAATGTTTCTTACAGAAGCCTTCCTTTTCGGAAAATAATTCTAGTTCATCGGGGAAATCGTCCGACAGACCAGATTTATCCATTGCCTGGAATCACCACTGTTTCAACGAAAGTGTGCCGCGGTCGGCAATAAAAAGTAAACTGTAGGCAGACTTTGCTGTAAGCAATGAAACGAGTTTTAAGTGAATGCAGAAGGTTGTCAATCATGCCAATATTGGTATCACAGTGCAAGTTCAGTAAGGCATCTTGAGGGTGAAGGTTGCCATTTGTGCCGATCGGTTTGCTTTCTTATGATTGTTGCTTTGTACGTAGTTCCCAATGTTTCCTTCGCTGCCTGTTTCATTTCATTGAATCTTTTCCTTAAACCGGATACATAATCACTCAATGATTTCGTCAGGTTTACAGCTTCATTCAATGTGAGCGTCTGATTATGTAGCGTTCTGATGGCATTGAAGCATTGCAACACTCTATCCCTGAATTAAGCTACGACTGTTGCAGTCATACCCATAGTCTTCAACCATAACCCATGTCTCTGCTAGTTCTTCCTAACCTTCAGACCCTCAAGGCGACCCTAATTTCTTGAGCGAACAGAGCTTCATAGCATCCGCTCGGGCTGACCACCACGAGTCTTGGAGTCGCATGGGCATGAATACCGTATCACTCTGTTTCAAATCAAGCCTGCAGAATATTCCGGCGAAGGGTCGACGCAGAAAAAAAATGTATGTACGCTGTACGCAACGGTTAACACAGACCACTGTGCGTGTTCTGTGTCGAGTGCTCTCGTGCCAACGCCAGCTGCCATTGATTCAGCAATGGCCATAGGTTGTGATCAACCTGGCCGTGTTCCGAAATTTACCCAATCTCACTCTAGAGTAACAGTTTCATACCTTGGTGTTCGAAAACCTTTTTGCGTCTGGCGTTGCTCAGCTTGAAATGTCCCGTGACATGACCCGCAGGAGTAGCTGGGATCCAGTCGAGTAAGGTTTGGAACACGCCCCCTGTCAGGGGAGGATACCCTCACAGAGGGCCCTATTCATTTGAGCAGTTAAATATGGGTAATCTGGCCCTGCCCCTGGGCGACAAGAGCAACATGGTGAAATGCTGGCCTGTTACATGGAGGCGCCAATTGTATTGCCGGATAATGCATTATCCGGCACCTTGACTCAACCTTTACAAACAAGTGTTCTCGAATTTTCTGGTGACAAGGAATCCTAGCAACCTTCAAAAGGTGCTATGGAACCCACCTTTCCCTTGCGCCCCTTCCACACTCCTTGATACTGCAGCATTCATGCTGCACCAGGCACGTCATGATTTACCGCTTTGTACCATCGTGCTCACAAAAGTTTCAGTGCTTTGCTCCGCCACGCATGCATCACGCTTCACCGCTATACACCGGTGCGTTGCGGCAGTGTATAGCAGTGAAGAAATACTTTGAAAATATTTGAAGTTGCCGAATACCCCTCACCAATTCAAAGTGCGAGTAGACTACGGCGTCATTCGCTTCAATATTCTGAATTTTAGAATATTTGTACAACCCTAAAATATGTCGTAAAGTAACGCTCAGGCATCTCTACAAATCCGGAGATCATTGCAAAAAAGTAGGAGATGGGCACTTGATATGCTATCGATGTTATCTCTATTTCCACTGTCCATATTTTTTTAGATGTTACAACATTTAGGGGTGGGCGCTTAGTGTACAATCAGAGGATGCTGGGTATTTCATGGTATACATAGCATTTGAGTAGAAATATGCAGTTCTTCACTTTCCCATAAAAAAATGAAATATATATATTTGGGTGCTTGCGGAATTCAAAAGACCAGCCTATGAAACCTGGTTTGGGAACCCTGGGTGTATAATGTTCACCTGTCTGTAAAAAGCTTCTCAAAGCAAGTTTTAAGAAAATAAAACTGAACCATCTAGAATGGCCCAAGCTGAAAAAGGCTACCAAATATTCCGTTTGTAGCATTCATGATTAGGCACTGAACTTTTCGCTTGATGCTTTGATTGATTTTGTTTCTTTTTATGGGAAAAAGTGCACATCAACAATGGAAATCAGCGACATGGTTTGCAAGCCACCCAACCAATGGTGTGTGAGCCCCCCTATGGCTGAAAAAGACGAAGAGAACACAGACACAGCGCTCACTTACGACTGAAAATTTTACTTCTGCATGGTACAGTAAGTAAACATAAAAAGAAGCAGACAGATACCATTTCAAAATGACCAACGAACTAGCCCAACTACACAATTTGTTGCAGTTCTTCTATGGCCCTGAATTCGTTCCTTACCACGAGAAAAGTGATGATTTTTCAAGCATCTCTGCAGATCCCTTCATTTTTAAAGCTATTTGGCACAAACCATAAAATCCCGAGGTATGTACTTCCCAGTCAGCAACATTCACTTGTATCCCGCCACAGCTAACTAGCCGCATTTGTGTCGAGGCCATCACTGATCCCAACACTACTATTACTAGAAGTAGTCTATCTTTCGGTGTTCAAAAAGTAAAGCAAATCAAGCCAAAAATAGGGGTGGACTACCTTTTGAGATCTTAGAGTAGAGTATTATGACATCAAAATGCAGGCACTGAGATGCTCTTTAGAAATAAACAAACTTTGAAATAACGGATTAGAAAGGTTCTTGTAGGAAAGCTCTTCATTCTAGCTCATAATGGCTGGGATTGCACATAGGGGAAAAGAGACACTAACTGCCGAATTCACAAACCTTTATTCCAATTGAGGCACCCCCCCACTTCCTCAAGGAAGGCACGAGGGACGGCACTGGCCAATCGCGAGGACGGCTAAGCAGCCTAGGCCGCCTATTTGTCGTCGCGACTGGCCCCTCCCCAGCACCGGCCCTCACACCTTCCTTGAGGAAGTGGAGGGGCGCCTCAATTGAAATGAGGTTTGTGAATTCGGCGGTAACTTAGCTAGTGCTAGGGTCCGGCAAATTGGAGACATACACCTCCCCACTGGCCACAGGCTCCACATCTTAAACACCTGTGGCCTTCGAAAGGTTAGAATGGGGCACAGCACCCACCAAGGATAGAATTACCATAAAGTTTTGCGAGTGCCTTGCCGAGCGCAAATGCAAGACGCTAGATGCCGCGGACACGGCACACGTGGTACTGGTCAGTAGCCAGCTTGTCGAGGTTGACCATGTTGCCTCGGTTGAGAAGAGGTACTGAAACATCAGCGAATGAATTAATTCATAGCATAAAACAAAGTTGGGTTGTGACCACTCCTTGGAACCACACAGGACACACATGTCTAACTGGGAAGCAGCCAATGAACATTATAGGTTTAGGTAGGGGTCAGTATTTTAGATCTAATTGTGCAGCTATATTTTTTTGTGTGTGGGTGTGTACGTGCAGGGAGTGGGGTTGTTAACTCATTGCAAATGTTTTATGGGGCTGGTTGCTTATTATTGGGGTCCACTTTCGTTTAGTCAGGGGAGGATCTAACTGTAAACACAGACATCAAGGTGCAGTACTCGCGCTCGCCTTCTGAGTTAAATTTCTGTTCTCCTTGGGGACCGGTCCTCGTGTGCCAAGTTCACTGTGGTTTTAAGAAGTGATTTGAATAGTTTCTTATCAAAAATGTTTCAGAACTTCCCAATGCATAGAGGCAGTTTCAAACTCTGTCAGTTTAAAACTGCCTTCTATACATGTTACTTTCACAAATGGTATACTCTTTTTTTAATCTATCTTGTTATATTCCTGACATAATTACTTATTTTTTTGGATTTTCGAACTTTCAAGGAACTTACCGACCTAAACACATGCTTTTTTGACCTGTCTACAACTGTATCCATCGCTGAGTGCTTATAAAAGAACAGGTGTAATAGAATACATTTCACTGAAAAAGAAAAAAGATAAATTTTCTGGCGTATATTAACTGATAAAAACCAAATATTGGATACTAGGAAGAAGCCGAGAGACGGTCGCTCGAGAGCTATTGGAAGCTTTCTTTATCAAAAAAAGTGGGACGGCATGTGTCAGCGACACTTCTATTGTTCTTCATTGTAATGAATTTCAGTTTTTGAATGATCGGGTGAAAAATTAATCAACTTTTACGTGGTGCTGCTTTGCTTGTCGTGTGTATATATGTGTTCGATTTTCCAGAATAAAACTAGTTGAAAGTTAGCGCCTGTCCTGTTTACTTCTTGTCCTTGTTTCTGTTGCGCTATTTTATATGTTTTACTAAGATGAACCAACTAGCCCAACAACGTACCTTACCAAATATTGGATTTCGAAATAAAAACCAATAAATGTATGCCGAATTCAAAAAAAAATAAATAAATAAATAAAAACCGAAAACGCTGATCTTGTTCAGTGTTTTCGGAGTTAACTTTTTTTGCTCGAATTCGAGGGTATTTCTTTTTCGATGTTTAATTTTTTCCAAAGATTCTGTGTTTTTGTGTAAATTGGTTGAAGTCATAACCAATTTACACAAACAACACCGAATCTGCACAAAAAATTACCACCCCCCCCCCCCAAAAAAAACAAGTACCCTCAAATTCGAGAAAAAAAATACTCAGAAAACACAGAACCCAAGTTATCGGTAGGTTGTGACTTTCCAGTTTTAACCTAAAAATACTGAGAAACATCAGCCGATGACGAAAATGCAAAATCGGTTATAACAGAAAAACACCGTTTTTGGGGACGATTTAGCGCTAGGCGATTACTATTTTGGTTGAAACCCCTAATTCTAGGCATTTGCTGAGCCTGTTTTGCTACCAAGAATTAAGCAAACTGGGGTCTCCAATCAGCGGGATCGCTGACCTTGGAGCACAAGGGCCCGAGAGGTGGGTTAGACGGTTACTACCAACAGTCACAACGCCCTTGTTGGTTCATGTCAGAGGACGGCAGATAAAAAAGCAACTTGTCCCAAACCAGTTTTTTTTTTTTCACCGATCATCGCTGTTTTTAGCGTCTACATCATACAACAAGTCGAAAGCAGGGTTGTGCAGTATCGCAATACAAATGTATTGCAATAGTATTTCAGAAATACATTTAGTGTCTGTAGTTCTGTATTGCAACACTTTCTTTTTCACCACTATCTGTACTTCTGTATCGAAATGCATTTGGGATGTTTCTCAGTACCGCAATACAATCAAGATGGGATGTATTTCGTTACATTTCTTGAGAAATAACCCCCACCTCTGGATAAAGAAGATAACTTTTTTTGTTTTGCTAGAGAAGGCCAGAGAGCGTTATGAGGGGTATGCTGTGCATTTGCTATCATGCGAACCTAGGTTTGTTCGGAACTATTTGTGTCGGATCTTAGCAACCCCCTTCTTTATTCTGCAAAACTGAAGAATGTTTTCCACCATGCTTCTGCCACACCCCCCCCCCCCCCCCCAAAAAAAAAAAAAAATCTTGACTTTTTTTTTTTTTAAGGGGACGCTGGGGCATTGTTACTATGCTGACCAACGTTCATTCCAATTCCCAGAAACATTTGTCTATGCGACCTCTTCTCTATTCTGCGAAGATAAAAAATGTGCTGTGAGCGGCGCATTTCTTAGTGAAGAAATGTGGTTCCCAGCTGTGAAAGTACTGTTTCTTTGATTTAATATGAACCAACTGTTGAGCAGCTATTTTTTTTTTTTTTTTTGCCAACATGACGTTGCATTTGAATGGGCAATGGCTCACAGGTGGGCTATTTGAGAAGCTCCTGCTCCTCAAGTGTAACCGAGTTTGGCACTTGCATGTCTTTCTTTTGTATTGCTTCAGTGTAAAACAACAGACAAAGCAAGAATGATTTTCATTGCACCTCCTGACTAATTTGTTGCCTATGATATGACAGTTGGCACCTCAAGCAAATTGGAAAAATGTATTTCAGTATCTGTATTTCTGCCATCTCTAAGAGGTATTCCTGCATTTGTATTTCCAAATACATTTTGCTCCTTGTTAAAATGTATTTCCGATGCATATCACAATACATTTTTACAGATATATATAAGTATCACTATTTTAGCTATTTTGATGTATCCCAGCATTTGTATTCCCAAGTACATTAAGTACTTTGGCCCAACTCTGGTCAAAAGACACCAATGTTTGAAAAATAAATAAACAATGAAAAACATCCGCCGATTTTTCTCATAAATAAACACCGGAGGATATACGGCCTAGTTATAGGTTATTTATATTTACTAAGTAAAATTCATTTTGGGTGTGTTTGTGGTATAAAAGTACAATCAAAACTCAATGTAGCTCCTTAATGTTTTCAATTAATCAATAAACTGGAAACTAAAAATAAAGCCTTTTTTTTTTGCTTTAGATGAGTGGAGACTGTTGTGAAGAGGCCATCGAGGCTTTGTTACCTTGCAGACCAGGATCTGATCAGAACATTGTCTTTGTACATGAGGACCCTCAGGGTATAATTAATTGATTACGCAAAATCTTAACGGCTTATGATAAGCGCAGCTTGCCATGAGTTATCTGCCATTTTGTGGTTTATGACGAGTGCACCTCATCACATACTGTTTTGTTCCTTTTGCAAGGTTTGCAACAAGGTCAGTGAATAAAAACAGTGTGAATTATCTTTATGATAGAATAATAAATATAAGAAACTGTTTCATATAAGGTCTGCTTAAAAAATGTAAAGCATTATAAGGTTAATCAACAGGAGATGCTATTTTCTATTTTAAAAGAATAACAAATGTTTTCCATGAAACTTCATCTAGATTCTGAACATCTAAGGCACTGCAAGCACAAGCTTTACAGGTGTGCTCTGCACTTTCGTGCCATATCGATGGAGGGGAGCAGAGTTTATGCTTTCAAATACTATCAATAGATAAGAGAACAGCGATTCCTTCCATCGTGACGTCACAAGATCATTACTGAAAAGGCAACCTCACCATATCAGAGCATGGGGACACCTCAAGATAATTTAGGAGGACCAAAAACTGATGTGGAGATGAAGTTAACATTGACAATTGTGCAAGCTGGATGACCATAGTAAAAGAAGCAATGCGTAAAGCATGGACAAAGATTAGAAGACAAACAAACCACAGAACACCATTTTTATCGGCAACTGTCGAGAGCGTATTTACAGGCACTAACATAATGCTCCACGGCCCTCCGCCCAAATCGACAGGTGCTAACTGATTGGACATCATTTGAAAAGCTCATCCACAAATGCAAGTGAGTGTAGCAATTGTTCTTTTGGTCTGTGTTGCTTGCATACTATATGTAAAAAGTAATATATATGGCTGGAGTGATCTTTCTTGGTATCATGAATACCTGGTTGTCAATAACACAGAATATGACATTTAGAATATCTCAAAGTATGCATAATGTGATACCAGTAGCGGAGCTAGCTGTAGAATTCTCTGGAAAGAGTAACACCTGCACAAGGCAAGCTTGAAGGTTCTGTCAAACTACATTAGTGATGGGTGTTACCTTGTGGAATCGAAAGGTGCAGCTTTGTTTTTGCAAAGCATCAGCAACCTGCGTCAGGACGCAGATGGCCGAAAGCAATGTTTGGTGCTTCTGTTGGGAGATGGAGCAATGTGCTGCAATTAGAAAAACCCGTGATGGCGAGTCCGACGAGGCTGAAGATAATCTTGCTGTAACACAGCTTTCTTCTAATATTGCCACACACGTCGCTGAGCGAGCGCGTACGTGGCCAAATGGTTACTGCACTTGATTGTAGCGCAGAAGATTTGGGTTTGATTCCAGGCAGCGGAATGTTCTTTTATTTATTCTTTCTACTTGGCGTTCTCGCAAATTCGAGAAATTTCTTGTCTGATCAAGCTACGAATGTTCTACGCACCGAAATGTCTAGGCCGAATGTTCCAGAGACCCACGCGACTACAAAAGGGACTCCGCATGGCGAGCGAAGTCAGTCTCTTCCTAGCGCTCAATCCTGCTGCTTCGACGCCTGCGACGCTAGCCTTTCTCTATTTTGTTTTGGGCACAAGTTTGCCCCATTCAGCGTTTAGTTTTGTCAGTTATTCGCCGCCTCACCATTTGTTATTCGTGACAATATAGCCATGCACGCAGACATGAAAGCCACAACAGAAAAACGCAATTGGGGTCGAGACACCCTGCCATAGACCCGTTGCTCCACAGTGCGGTCTACTTTCCGTGATGTGCTGTGCCATCTCTCAACATGAGAACGAAACACAACCCTCCACCGATAACTGAAAATCTTGCATATATTCTTCCGATTTTTCGCACAAACAAATCAGTGCCTTTAACTTTCACATGGTAACATCCACCACTGCAACACACCTGTGACAAAATATGAAGCTCGCTGCACCCAGACTATTATTTTTTGCTTCATTTTACAGCAAACCCCGCTACTGTGGCAACCTACATTTTGGGATCTGTTTTGTTTCATCGACAGACATCTCATCGACAACTTTTAATCAAACGACATATTGACATACATTTCGTCGACACTGACATGCCATCGACAATCGTTCCGCTAACCGTACGGTGTTCTGATGTTTCGTTGTGCATGTCACTGGGACACGCATTAACTTACCCGGCCCGCCCGTCTACGTCATTTCGCAGCGACCGTCTGTGGCGGCTCACTACAGAAATATTAACATACCTGGCCCACCCACTGATCTCCACTAGAGGGGGCTGGATGGTGCATTGAGCAAACAAGTATGAAGCCACCAGAGGTGAGCGGCTTGTCCCGGAAGTGAGCGCTTGGCAGGCTTTGTAACCCTTCCGAGTGCTGGTTCGAAAAGCGTCGAGGGCGCTGGATTTTCGCTTGTTCCCTCAAGAGAGCCTGCTTGTTGCGCATTAAGAGCGCATGCAGACCCCAGAAGCATCATGGGAAGCCATTCAATGTAAACATTTTGAGATTCTAGTTGATAAAGTTGTGAATATGTCTCAAGTTCAAATGCCTCATTCTCGGAATTTAATCCAGAACGGGAGTATTAAAACCCAATCAAAGACACAAAAAAGCATGGTCCAAAATATCGACTGAATGCACTAGGAAGACCAGCGCACGCCCGACTTTCGGGACAAGAATCAAACTTCCGGTGGCTTCACTTGCGCCAGGCTCGGACAGCAGCTAAGCGCCATCCAGCCCCCTATAGTAGAGATCAGTGGGGCCACCCACTCAAGCTGCTGAGCGGCAACATTCTGCAGGGAGTCACTACAGAAAAAAAAGCTTATCTGAGCTGTCGATGTAACAAACTGTCGATGAAACGAACTGTCAATGAAACGTCGTTCAATGAACTGACTGCCCCCCATATTTCAGTATCAGGATTTCTCCTTCAAATAAAACATATTTAAAGATACCTTGTCACCTATTTTTTTGGTCACACATATTTGAGTCGTTTTGCAATGCTCTTTTTATAAATGTATTTTAGTATCAGTACTTTAGCTGTCACTGCTGTGTATTCCAGTATTCGTCATTTCAAATGCTTTTTAGGTTATATCTGCCCAACCTTGTCACTCAATGAACAGCATTCCAGAGGTATCATGAATACCTGGCTACCAATAACACCGAAGATGACATCTAGTCACAAGGGGCATGTCACATGTAACTCAAAAGGACAGTGCACCAGGGGTGAAGGTTCCATGTACTTACGTCGACATTCATGATGGTAACGCCGAGGGCAACACCTTCCGTACTAGTAGGCGGTTCAGGGACAGCCTCTCATCCTCCCTGGCATGCCCGAAAGGCCCACCTCGTGGCACCAGCTTGAATACGAGCACGTGGCTCGCCAGGCCTTTCAGGGTGGACACAAGCTCCTGAAAAGTGGAAAGGACATTGACTTATGCATAGGACAAAGCAAAACTACCGTAAAATCCCGTAAGGATGCCCACCCAAAATGAAGAGATAAATTGGGAAAAACATGGGGTGGGCTATCCTTGGGAATACGACAGCAAAATTTATTAAAAAAAACGCGATAAGCCGCTGGGCTATCCGCTACAAACCACATAAAACGGGAACTGATACCGCGGATTGCGGACACGGCACATTTATATTTAAGATGCGATAAACACACAAGACTTTGCTAAGACATCCAGTGTCATGGTAAAAGGGGTTGAGGACGCAGCAGATTCGCTTTGCCGTGTTTTCACGATTTTAACGCGCAGGCTGATTTAGCTTTCAGATATTGGCCGGTTCTACTGCGCAGGTAAAATAATGAAGATTGAACACATACCTTATAGAACGGGTTTTATGAAACGAACGCCAACAAAGTTGTCACAGTGCGACGATGTTTCTTCGCTGTCCACAGAGGTGATCGCTTGCGCATGTACGCGCGAGTGCGCGTCGTCGGCTTTGGGAGGGTCGTCTTCCGAGCACCACTGCGAGCTCGTCGGGTCGCTGGGATTGCGAGGCCACGCAGTGCTGCTCCGTCCGTTATCTTTTCCCGCCAGCGGGACTTTGGTTTAAATAAGCCTCCAAGTGGATCTGCCATGACTCCCGTTGAAACAGTTCAAACCTGTGGTTCAAACAGTTCAAACAAGCCGCCCCGGCAACCTGAGAACCGTTGAAAACAGCGAGGCCAGTGTGGCGCCAGTGGGCAAGTCATTCGTGAAGCTATCATGATATAGGATGGTCGAGAAATAAACCAGTTAGCTGGGTTTGAGACGTCCCTTTTTGTGTCCGATCTTTTTACTAAAATGTCTCAGGTGTTATACGACATAATTATCATCATCATCACCACCACCCGAACGGATTCCCTACGAGCGGTTTTCCCTACGCTGGCGTTGTCCCCAGATCTAGGCACGGGCAGATCTGTGGATAGGCGCTCGCATGCCTGTGTGCCTGCCGCTCAAGCCAGGCATGCTCGTTTCTTGTTAAATTATTTGAGTTTCGTTTTCTTAAAAATTGACGTTAGCGCTCCTAGCAAAATATAAAGCCTTAAAAACTATTGGGCTAGGTATATAAATGTTTTATAAAAATAAAACAAAAAACTCGGCACTTTTAGTTTGATTAATTAACGCTTAAGTTGTTTTCGAATAATTATAGTTTATTAAATAGGACATATTTATATTTTTTGCATAGCCAACACAATCCAATCCAGATTTGTTTAACAACAAAAATAATAAAAAAAAACGAGCAGCGCTCTGACCAGACCGACCTGTGTACCCGACTTTCTTTTCGGCGAGTTCATCGCTCAATAATTTGACTTGTGTCACCAACTAACGATTAATTCGACCGTAAGTTTAGCGGGAGGACATGGCCAACCCGAAGTATGCCGACTTGCCGGGAATCGTAAGTGGATTCCTAGGGCGTGCGCCCGTCATTCTATCATCTAGGCAAAGTTTGTGTCATCCTAACGCAATAATATTGCTCGCTCGCTCTAGAAGAGAGCTGTTAGCACTTTGTAGGTAGCTGCGGAGACACGACCGATGGTTTTTATCGCAGGCGTACGACCAGCCCGACCTGTACGAGACTGATGAGCTGCCGGAATCCGATCAAATCGTGACTGAAGCTTCCGTGGTATGTTGTTCCGAACGAATTTAATTAGCCGAATAACTGAGGCAAGCATAATGACTGTTCGCTTGATCCCACAGGACCAGTCTGACAGCGTGAGCACTCTGACGATATCCGCGACAGACGCCTACGACAAGTTTAAGGGATGTTTGGTGGACGCCTCTTCCGTGGGTAAGTCGGCCCTTCGGTCTTACAGCAAGACACTATCGTTAGTGCTTGCAAAGTCTCACGATGCTAATGTCAACAAACAAGTTCTAATTATTAAAAACAAACAAACAAACGCGGTTTGATTTTTTAAGATATACACCCCATAAACCATGGGTCCGGTTCCCTAACGTACCCTCTCCCCGAGCTGTCAATTGTCCCTCAACTGTCCCTGCCAGTACGTAAGCATTTCTACAGTTTTAGCAAACCTGAGTCGCCCATGGATTCACAACTATGAGCCAAACACTCCTCAACATGTGGATTATTCACGGTTGGTCTGTAAGCTTCTCAACTGCTCTATGGTATCAATGCCCCGAGAGGGAGGTGTTCCTCGGCGATCGGTAGAGTGAGATTTGCGTTCCTGGAGATCGCTATAAAGGCTAGCCCACTACCGCAGGAAGCGAGCAACGTCTGTTGCAGGAAGCGAGCAACACACCGCAGCACCGTTGACTGTTTCTCTGTTGAGCTAGGGTGCCACAACGCTCTTACGGTGGTGTCACCCTTTGAAGTACCTTGACAGCACGCAATTGCTGAAAAATACCAATGAGATGACTGGGATCCTAAACAGTGGTGAATAGCTGAGAGCTGAAACCAGAAGATGCCCACTCTATGCTGCAGAGCAAAGAAAAGGAGTTGGCACTGTGCCACAAAATGATTAGGTGTCACCACGCCCAGAGCCTTTTATACTGAAAGAGTTCGGCAGGTGGGAGGGGCTGAGTCCGCTAGGTCTAGCGGACTCAGCGGGTGCCACTTCCGTCATGATGTGCCTCCCGGCGAGTGGGTCCCCATTGACATGCGATGTATACGCGTGTAGGTTTTGCCGTTTGCGCTTTTGTTGGCATAAGGAGAAAGTCGAAAAATCGAGCATTTTGTTACGTTAATCATACGTTAATCATAAACTTACCTCGCACAATCGAGAACTCGGCTTCCAGTCAGCCCTTCTTGGTTTCCCAGATCTTGTGCCTTGCACGGTTTTCTTTTCCTTGCGGGAACCGGTACATCCTGAACCCTTTTTTGCGTTGTTCGAGCACCCAACGGCACTGCAGCCCCCCATTTCTTTTCCATCTAACGTCTGGCAGAGCGCAGCGCAGAACGATAATTTTCATCGTCGTCTCTCACTCCATGGACTCTAGCGAGCCGACTGCCGGCTCGAGTCAGTAGGGCAAACGGGTTTTATCAGCCGCCACCAGCCTTACACCAAACAAGGGTGAACCTTGCAATTTAAGGTTATAATTATAATGCAATTAAATGCAAAGGTGCAATCAAGCTAGACGGCAAGGCACATCATGGCGGATGCGCACAGTTGCCAGACTGTTTGATCAGTGCTGCCAGACTGGCGGCTGGATCAAAGAACCGCCGAACTCTCCCAGTATAAAAGGCTCTGACCACGCCGAGACAGAGATGTGTGCAGCGGGACATTATAAGGGCTAACAAGTGGTCACTGTTTTTTTTCTGTCCTTTTCTACCTAAGCCTAGCTAAAACCTATGGGAAGTTAAGCAGTAAATGTTACGGCTCGTCAACATTCTGTCCGAGCAAATTGACTTCCGACCGGGGCATGTATGTTGGATTTATGAACTAAGGGGGAACAAGCCAATCCTGCCATTTGCGTCGGCGCTCTCAAAACTCGTGAAGAGGGGGATAATCAATCTCTGCTTCAGTAACGCTCTAAAGAAGTCGTGCACTCTCAAGATCAACGAAAGTTTTCAAAATCGGGTGTCAAGACTGAAGTCCTTGGGGTATCCAGTCTCTCCTCTATCAGCCGCAGCAGAGCACACTCTCAAGACGTTAAAGAATGTAAACAGGCAGAGTACGGAAGTACAGAGGAAGAAAAAAGAGAAGCCAGTGGTCATACCATACCTACATAAAGTGTCCTATAACCTGAAAAGAGTGGGCTTGCACGCAGGGGTTAACATTGTTTTTTCAGCACCTGTCAAGTTGGCTAGTTTATGTAAAAAAATAAATTCCACCTCGAACACCATAAGCAGACCCGGCTGCATGAAAAAGAACAAAACTTGCTTTGTTGAGTGTATAGAAGAGGTTGTCTACTCCGTGCCATTATTGTGCTGGCGTCATTATGTGGGGTACGCTGGTCGCTGCCTAAATGAAAGATTGAAGGAACACCGTTACAACGTCGATGCCGTCATATCAGGACACCTCGGTGTGCATTGCCGGGATTGTGGTTGTACTCCGATTTTCACAGACTGTACTGTACTAAACAAAACCACAAGGAAAATACTCGAGGCTCGAGAAATTGCTAGATTAGGGCTGCAATGTGTCGGCGCACCCTCTTTATCTTTATTTTAAAAAGAATTGCAGTTTCTTGACCAAAAATGACTAGTTTTGGGTGGGTGCCGATGAGTGATGCAGGACTTTTAGCCTTTTTTTTATGTGTTTTTATGATTTTTACGTAGTGTACCTTATATCTTCCTAACTTGTTTGTGTTGTTGCCGGTAATATATACCGAGCTGCAGCAGAAAGAAAGTTCAGCTGTAAGTGGCGCTGTGTCTGTGTCTTCTTCTGTGTCCGTCGTCTTGTTGCACTTTTTAATCATTATGAATCACCAACTTGCTCAACTTTTTACCCTCGTTACCTTTGTAGAAAACCATCTAGTATGTCGCTTGTGTTTGGATGCCATCGAGCATTTTTGATCCGTGTGTAATTAGGCTGAGAGTTTTGCAGTATTTGCGAGATCGAGCCTTTGCACTAGCTAGGAGAAATGGTCGCTCATAATGTTGTCGGAATTATTTTGGGTCCACGGCGAAATAAGGATGCGTAAAATATAATCAGATTGGGAGTGTTCTGAGGCTAACCAACAGATGGCACCAGTGGTTTCGCTCGTCGTAAGCATACACTAGAAGATGCAACGCAGTCGATGACACTCGAATGCAAATGTGTGAACCAGTCTCAAGGGTGTTACACATAGTAAACTGCGAGGTACTGTTTGTACAAACATGACATTGGCACTTTTTTTAATATTTAGCCTCAAAGACCCAAATTTTATCGCTTATGTTAGTGCCCCAGATGAGCACCTTGATAAAAGCCTTTCAATTCTAAAGAAAAAAAACTTAAAAAAAATGTTTATTGCTTCTTTGTTCTAACAGTCTCCTCTTATGTACACATACAGACTGTGTTAGTTGGTGCTTTCTTTACTCTATCTTTTTCTTTCAAAATCTCGAGCGTGTCAAGTGGGTATTTCCTCTTACGTCCCGCAGACTTTACGGAGGGCATCTCGACACCCCGCAAGAAGGGCTACAATGTCCTCTCCGGCGAGTGGGAGATGGTGAGTTTGGTCAAGTGACTTCTCAAGGTTGAGCAAGTCTAGTTTAGTGATTTCCTAATGGCTACTCTGTCCCCACAGGCTGGAGACAAGGAACCAGAAAATGTACAGCAGAAGTACCAGAGGCTCCAGTTTGAGGTGAAGGAACTGCTGAACGAAGTGGAGGCCCTCAAGGTAACCCAGCCGACGGATTCAACCACGTGCTGGTCGTATTTGAGCCGTCAGTGTTGTCCGAGGTGGACTGCATAACCAGCTGCAGCCTGTGGACACTTCAAGTTGCCACAGAGTTGCCACGCAGATGGAACTCGGAGCTTCCGGTCTCGTTGGCAGAGCAACTGAGTGACGGCTGTCGAGCGCACAGAATGCAGCAATACAGAGCTGCCCTGCTTGCTGGCATTTCCGCCAATCTGCCGCCACTTCGGTTGCTATGGCGCCGTTCCGGACACTCTCCCCCCCACCGCCGCACTCCGACGCCTTGCCGGCCCCATGTTCGGCACGAAAGTCATCATGCTGAACGAGCTCGGCTCATATTTACTGATCTAGCATATAAGGCAACCATTCAATGTACCCTTCTTCCGGAATAATAAGCACACCTCCGAGTAAGAGTGACTTTTTTACATCTTGATTTCAACTCCAACTGTTTGGTGGGAACGTCAACACCTTTGCACCACGTCGCATCGCTTCACCGTCCTTGGAACAGCTCGAAACTAGGCTTGTGATACCACTTTATCCCTCTAATATTCTCGTAACTTTCTGCTGTCGAATGCTGCTGGTGCAAATTACTGTCGTGACTGCGACACCGACGCTGACGCAGATATCGAAACTGTAACGTTGTGAGTGGCCACGGATCAAACTTCTCCGGAGAAAGCGGCGCAGAGAACTTCTCCGGACAGCTCGATGCGCTTGGCCACTTTCGCACAGATCGGCTGGAGCCGCTCGGCGAGAGGTCCACTGCTCCCAGATGTAAGAGCGGCACACAGAGAGGTCGCTCGCACATCGCGAGGGGCACGTGAATCCGCTTGGCAAGTGAACCGATTCCTGTGTATCCTGTCCGGGTCACCAAGTAGAGAGACAGACGAAAACCAACTGCGTCAAACGAAATTCAAGATTGAACTGTTCGGGTTCTTTTATTCCATGCGATGTTCTTCTTTTCCGAGTGGCTATAACCGCAGGGCTATTAGGTAAACACCCTTTAGCGATTCACACATTAGCTTTCACTGGCTCTCAGATTTGCTTACCCGATAAGCATTAGCAAATCTGGCAGCCAGCTATAGGCTAGGGTGTGGATCACTAAAGCGTGTTTATTTAAGTCTTGCTCCCCCCCTCCCCTTAAATGAGACGATCTGGCGTCCACGAAGATGCGCCGATCAGATTGCCGAAATTGGCCCATTGATATACTTCACAAGCTTTTCTGAATACGCCGCCAGGCTGAGGAAAGGCTGTTGTGCTGTTGCAGACCGGTGCCCAGCAGGGAGACCAGTCGCTGAGCACGCTGGCGAACCCGACCTGCCTCCTGGAGCAGGCACACCTGGTGCAGAAGATGCTCCTGGGCCTGGACCTGGACCGGACCCTGGGCTCGGACACGTTGCTCTCGCTCACCGACCCCCAGGGCGCGCTGCGCAAGTGAGCCCGCCCTTCTCTCGAAGCATGCGACGGTGACCGCGTGACCTCTAGAATTGCTGTATACGCTCCCCTTGCGGTAAGAGTTGAGTGTTGCAACAATCTCAAACTTTAGCTTCCAAGTATTGCGGGAGAAGCGACAGGTGCGACGACATGACTTGGCGATTCACCACGCATGCACTGTCAAGCTTCTCCCAAGTCCCCTAAAAGCATGCGCAGGCTGCGTTGTTAGTTGTCGTGTTGTCCGCCCGTACACGGCCGCTTTGAAACACCACTCGCATCATCAAAAGAATGCGATTGCACGTGTCTAAGTGGCACACCCAGTGTCTCGATGTTCAAGAAGCTTCCTGCTCGTCAAACTTCAGTGTAAGATCTACGTTTTGCGAACACAGAACAAAATATATGTCCCGCCCCGAACCCGGCGCTCCTTGAAACCGCCTCTTCGCAAGTGCTTGGGGCATGTTTGGCGCATGTGACGTCTCCTCCGCCAATGAGGAGTTGGCGGCAAGAGGAAGAGGAAGTAGATACTCTGTCTCCTTCATTTGGTTAGTCTAGTGGCCCTTAGATACGAAAAATCCTGTGCGAGAGAATACGTATGCCCCTAAACAAAAAATATAAGCCTTTCTTTTTTTTACTGCAAAAATAAACTATGCAGCACCTAATGCTCGGTCTCTACCCAGATGTAGCACTAGCAACGCAGACCAGGTGCCAAACCTTCAGAACTAATCGTTACCTTTTTCGAAAGTTATGAACTTTTCAAAGGGGAAATGGAGCCTATGCGGAAAGCAGGTCATCTGCTTCTTGCGCAGGGGTTGCGGTGACGTCAGAACGATGCCAAGCTCTGATTGGCTTTCATTGAAAGGGTTGTGGGTAGACCTCAATGCTGGATTCCTTGAGGGCTATGCACTATTTTTTTTCAATCGGCAAGGAAGAGCTCGGCGTCCTGACATCATCGCAACCCCTGTTCAAGAAGCAGACGAACGTGCACTTCGCATTCCAAGTAGCTGATGCCATTGATCTCCACATATTCGTGGGCTGCATCGACCAACATTTTTCTAATTAAAATTTTTGAAAATCTCCTATGGCTTTTTAATTGGATAATGGTTCATTCTGAAACTTTGGCGTCTGGTCCAAACTGCTAGCTCTACATTTGGGCAGAAACAGCATTCAGTGATTCATAGCTTACTTTTGCGGTGAAAGAAAATACTGTATAACATAAGACGACCAATCGCATCTTATCTGTTTTATGGTGCAGCAGACAGACCTCCATAGATCTCCAACCGCGCGATTTCTGTAGAACTTCATCTTACCAGAAATTTCTACATCAACGGGCTTGAAAAGATCGCCGTAACGGAACAACCGGAAGTTTCCTGGGGCACAGGACATTGCTCGTGGTTGTAAACAGTGAAAGGGTCTCTACCACTCACTATAGGACAGTGTTGTAGTGTTTTTTCTGGTTTTCACCGATGCATAGTCTGGTACTTATGCAGCGTGAAAAACACAGTTGGCTTCCGTCGGAGCAAGACACATTGTAGTCCCTGACATGATGAGAATAATGGGGAGGAGTTTCAGTTGTCCCGCCTGCCCGTGCATGCTTGAAGCATAAGCTTCGAGCATGCACGTGCAGGCAGAGTACGGCAAAAAGCAACGAGCGTGTGCTGGAGTCTGGGCATTCGAAAGAGATGCCCTGCCGGTCTCTTCTTGTCAGTGACGACAGTGCGTGTTACCAATCTAGATCCGGGCACAAGACTGAAGTCATTTTTATTTGGGGTGTGGACAATTGGTTCTTGCTCCAGCATCTTGTTTGTCTTTTTTTAAAAAATATGCAGTCCAAATGCTTCATTAAAAAGCAAACTATTCCTTAGCGTGATGATAATGCAAAGGCGCAAGTGAGCTGTGCAAGAATAATGAGAATAAACCCTGGAGAAGGGGAACAAGGGGGACGAAGGACACTGGAAATGGAGAGGTGCCTGGTTTGATACCAGGACCAGGCGGATTTTTTCGGTCGCGTACCAGTCATCTAGCTGTGTTTGGAGATTTGTGTTTGTCCTTTGTCCCCCTTGTTCCCCTTCTCCAAGGTTTATTCTTGTTATTCCTTAGCCCACCATACATTTCTGCGGGAGTCAATCACAATTATAAAATTGGCATACCCTGTTGCGAAATGTCGGCATGCAACAGCTCCCTTTACCAAGAATATCATCCGAGTGGAACCACCTTCCAGCACATCTGGTAAACATACCGTCCATGGATTTATTCAAAGATGTGGTGACAAATGACGTTTGCTAATATCACGCCAAACGGATTATATTCTAACAAAATTGCTTACTTTAGTTGTTTTTTGTATGTGATTTTTTTTTGTGTGTGAACGTATTTGTTTGTTTTCTCTGTAATGCCCTGTGGTTCCTGAATGTGTCGATATAAATATAAATATATAAATAAAAAGGGTCGAGGTAAACCTAAGCACTTCTTTTCAGTTGTGAATGCGAAAGCATGCATGCCGCTCTTCTGCTCTCTCGTTCCGTCTGCGGCGTACTTGCGTCGACGGTCGAGCGTGCGCACTAGCTCTTTTCGGCGCACTGACCTTGGGCCTGGAGCGGTGGAGCCGCTGCCTCGCGGACATGCAGCGCCATGGGGTGGCAGTTGTTGAGAGAGACAGTGCAGCGGCCAATGGGATCCTCGTTTCTTGAAACTATGACGTGCGCCAGCTAATGGGACTGAAGCCGAAATCCATCACCATCACCCCGCTCCTTTGGGATCGGGGAAACCAGGTGCTGTTTGGATAAGCTTCGCGCGTGGTTTCAAAGCTGGGAGCCAGCTTCACTTGGAGAAAGGAGTTTAGGTGCCGTTTGGCGCGGCTTCGAAGCTGATGAGGTCGGCTCGCTCCTAGTACAGTTGATGCTTCCGCATTAAAAAGTTTGACGTAGGATTCGGGAGTTTCCACCCTATCTAGACCTTGAAGTCAGAATGGTGTTGCTGGGCCTTTCAGGACCCTGGAATCCCAGCTGGAGCGACTGCGCCAGGGTCCAGCTCCAGCAACGCCGGCTGCGCCACAGAAGGCAGCTGCGGAACCCGCTCTCGATCCAGTCCAGGCCACGGTCAAGGTAATACTTGGGGCCCGTTCACACACTTGCGCGCTTAGAACCGAGTTCTCATGATCTCCCACGACAAGAAACGCTCTGGCACGCTGGTGTCATCTATGAGGTGACCCTGGAACTGCATTTTACTGAAGCAAAGGTGTTTTTACTATTTGCGTGATCAAATGTACCTACTATCTGCGAGAAATGGTTGTTTATGACATTGTCAAAAGATTTTCAAGATAAGAAAGAAAAATGAATGCGCAAAGAAAAATGATATGCACGTTAACCGCACGTGTTGCACGACTACCCAATAGATGGCGCCAGTGTATTTTCTTGTAAAAGATTTTAAGAGGTTTTAAGGCACACGGTAGTAAGCAATTGCAAGTTTGTGAACCAGCCTCCCTCAAACAAGGCAACAAGGTGGTGTTCCTGGATGGCGAACATGTTAAAAAGCATTGTCGCGCAGAAAAAAGATTGATGTCTTATGGCTCTGCCAAAAGGTTTATTTAAGAAAACTAACACTGTTCGATATAGTTAAGCTCTTAATTACCTTTGTTTATTTACCCTTTTAATTAGTAGATTTAAAGGTGTCCTTTCAATTGGAAACCTTCTGGGAATCATTTATTGAAAACTGCCAAATCTGCTCCCTTTACAAAAATTAATGTTGCATGGAGCATTTTACGATGTTCCGAAAAGCACTCAATTCGGATGCGTTTTGAAGTTTTGGTTTCCTGTCCAATTGCATCTTTGTGCCAGCGGTCCCACTCCCCCGTGGTTAAAGCATGCAACTATGTGCACCACATGTTCTTCACATTGACCTCAAATGAGGTCGCAGTATGCGCAAATAAATAAACAAATAAAATGTCAAGGGTAGTAGTACATATGCTGTGATGAAGTGCCATTGTTGTTTACGTATACAGGGTGTTTATTGGAATGTTTTACAGATTTGTTTTAAAAAACTTGCAGACGCTTCAGCTTCACCTTTAAGAGTGAAATGTGATAGCGTTATCGGGCCCCGTTCGCATTGCCTTCCCATTAACTTTTAGAGCGCAGCTCTTATGCGCCCCTTTTCGGCTTGCGCGGCGTTGGTGTCGGCGTAACCGTGCGTTGCGTAATGGGATGTTTCCCATAATGACGTCAGACATGACGTCACGAGTGACTTGACTCGTAACCGCGCGTTGCATTATGGGACATTTCCCATAATGACATTACACGTGACATCACATGTGACGTCACAAGAGTCATGAGAGACGTCACAAGTGTAGGTCACAACCTTCACGAGGACTTCACGAGTAACGTCATGAGGGTCACGAGTGACGTGAGTCGTAACCGCGCGTTGCATTATGGGACATTTCCCATAATGACATCACACGTGGCATCACGTGTGACGTCTGAAGAGTCATGAGTGAGGTCACGAGTGTAGGTCACAACCTTCATGAGTAACGTCATGAGGGTCGCGAGTGATGTCACGAGGGAGGAGGAGGAGGAGGAGGAGGAGGAGGAGGAGGAGGAGGAGGAGGAGGAGGAGGAGGAGGAGGAGGAGGAGGAGGAGGAGAGCTGGAGGAGGGAGGAGGAGGGGCATGCCTTCCTCTCCTGTGTACCCTCCTCTCCTCCGTACCCATATTCGGCATTACATGGAGTTGTAAACGTTTTTCATTTTCTTCTCTCTCACGCTCTTCCTGCCAGTGAGCAGGAAGTGCAGTGGACATAGCCTAGTGAGTAGCATGTCTGGCTCACAAGTAAAGGGTCGCGGCTAAAATTCTTCAAATGTTTTTTTGAAGGCAAATGAGTTACTTTATAAAGTGAAATAATTTAAGACATGCAGCGACCTTCCGTTCGCATTACATGTCATGTTTTTTAATCACTTTCTTCCAATCGTAGGGTCACATTTCACGTGAGCGTTGTGGGCTGTTTGATATTCCCGCACGAGGTCATGTGGCTGTGACGTCATGACCCTATCAATCCAATCAGGATTTCCCCATCGCAGCACCACCGACGCTGACTCCTGCTTTTCTGCAACACAAGCTTCTCAACGCTACCCGCCAAAAAGCCAGAAAAGCTACACTCATGCGGTCTGTGCAGGGGAGTTACACAACCAGGGGGACATAATAAAGGGTTCTAATCATCACAATAAACAGATAACGAACTTAGATTTGTCAATTTACTTTTTAATTAATGAGAATAAACATATATGGTTCCAATTAGAAACTTGCTTGGCGTCATCGAAAACCACTAAATCACGAAACTTTAGAAAGAGTTTGAGCACATGGGCAGCGTGGTGGTGTGCCAAACTTGCTACTTGTACAACTGGCACAAAAGTGGCAGTGCGAAAACGAAAATTAAAAAAATTAAATATGGGGGCAATTTTTCGCATTGCCAGCCTGCTGCACGAGTAATCACTTTAGTGCACTACCACACTTCCCACATCCTACAAGCTTTTTTATAATTTAAGTTGGCTCATGATAATTCAAACTCGGGTATTTCTTGCTTCTATTTAATTCAAACAAATTAAAAAATTTTGGCTGTCCCGTTATGTTTTTAGTGTATTCATAAGCCACTTACCTCGAACGACATTTTCGTGTAATTCATACTTTTTGTTCTCGCGGCCTCGTTGAGTGCGCTTCTTTCCGAGCACCGGTGCACTGCAGAGAGGCAACACCTGCGGAGCTTGCTTCTGCGGGTGTTGCTTCTTTGCAGTGCACCGGTGCCCGTTGAGAAGCGCACTCAATGGGGCTCAAGCAGGGCACACTTGAGCTATGAAAACGGGCACCATGCGAATATTTTCACAGCAACTTGCGCAGATGCTGTTACGTGGCGGCATGGCGTAGATCCACATCACAGCATCCATGCAAATTGTGAAAACTGCCATGCTGTTCCCATTTTCATCGCTTATGTGCCCCCTGCTCTATAGTAGACTACTAATTGACCTGATGAACAAACTTAATTTGGTTTTGAGTTATCATATGCTATCTCAACGGTCCACAATAAACAACATTTTTAAGAGATAAATAGTCTTATGTCATACATTCCATAAATGTTTGAAGTGTGGCATACCTGCTTATGATTATTAGTCTTATGTAGAGGAAATCATCAAATATCTGCTTTGTATGTGTTCATTAGGCAGATCATAATTTTATCTTGCACCATATTTAGATGAATTTCTGATAATTCAAACTTCTGATAATTTTCGCAAAATGTTTGGCTTCCTGGAAATTGAATTAATGAGTCTACTTATTAATTTAGTGCTTTTTAATGACCCCCAAGTTCTTATTGCAACATGTTTATGTTCACTAATTAGAAAATCAACTTACAACTTCTACTTAATCAGTTGACTTATCATGACATTTAACCAACATATTATGTTCCCCTGGCCATGTACTTCACCTGCAGAGATCACATTAGTGTAGCTTTCAAGACTTTTTTTAAGAACAGTCTGTAAAGCCTGAAGAAACACGTTTTATAATGTACACATTTTGAAGTGAGGCCTCCCAATTCCATCATCTTGATGCTTTGTTGTTGATTGTTCTAACCAGTGATCTATCTTTGAAACTTTTAAATGCATGCTTCTGGTTTCCAGGCCATTGTATCTGTCGAGACTTCTCCCAGTTATGACGACCAGACTTGCAGTTTTCTGGCCCTCATACTTACAAACTATTTTTTTTTTTGCTTTCTGCACAGCAGACAGTAATTGTGTAGTTTTGCTTCAGTTTTATTTGCTACTGTTTATCGACAGAAGGATAAATATTGGTTGGAGGAGGTACTGTAAACAACTTGACTTTTGCAAATTTTGTGAGTTGGAAACATTTACCAAAAATTTAGCATGCAGATCTCAGGGTAACAAATGCATCACCATATCACTCCAAATCAAAAACTTTTGGGCCTGCGAAATATTTTCCGAAATTCCAGTTTGAAAACATTATGAAATATTGAAGTAAAATGGAAAAGTGGGCTAGTTGGTATGTGTTTAACTTGTAAAGCGCCTAAAAAACGAGGACACAAGGAAGACGAGACAGGACCAAGCACTAACTTACAACTGAACATTTATTGAAACACACTTACTATTTGTACACAAATTCAGGCTCGCAATACAAAAAGTCACTCTTTCTCAGTAAGTGCACTGACGGTGCACTTACGCAGCTATCTTCGCCCTTTACTCTAATGCAGTAGGCCTCAAACAATTCTCTCTCAGTTTTGTTTTTTAGTTTTCCAACTGTTTTTGTTTTTGTCAAGATTAGGCACGCACAGACACCTATCACAGGGAATTGCTAGATTACCCGATGGGGAACTTGTAACAGATAGGGCATGCTCGCATGCCCTATCGTTGATGCATCTCCCCGTTTGCCCTGTATACGCTTTTCCACAAGTCATAGGTATTTCGTAGACAACTGACATTGCGCATCCAATGTACTGCGCATCATGTTTCTTGGCACAACCCTCAGTTTTTTTGTTAACTCTTAAGCGAAGACTGGACAATTTTGACGGCGCAGAGAACATCACAGGCACCTCAAAGTGTGCGGTGACTCTTTTAAGGCTGTGGGACAGCCCGTGGACGTACGGGATTATTACCGGTCTTGTCTTTTTAGTCTGGTCGGCCGCTTCCCCTCCGCTTCTTTTTTTTAACCTTGAAACCTGGGTTTCTGCAACTTCTTTCAAAAAACGCTCTGGATAGCCCGCCGTTTTAAAACATCATACCTGATCAAGAAAGCTTTCGCCCATACTATGCCTACACGACTTGTCTAGGGAGGCTCTGATCAACGATGACACAATTCCTCATTTCACTAATTTGGAGTGGGCAGACAAAAAAGGCAAAACACCTTTCTTCGAGCGTGGCTGGTACTTCCAGCATACGCAGGCATTGTCGAAATGCAAATTTAAATCCAAGAACTGCAGCCGTTTTGACACCATAGTTTGGTGGGTGAAGGTGAGGCCATGTAATTTAGAGGAAAAAACATCTATTGTTCTATTGATAATGTTGTCGTTACAGGCGTGGGGGAGTGGCAGAAGCCCCAAGAATATGTTGCCATCCACTTCCGAAATTCTGGGATCTGGAGGCTATAGGAGTGAAGCAAGACGAAAGCGATAGTTCGAACAACTCCGTACTAACGTCCTTCGAAGAAACGATAACGAGCAACGGAGAACGTTACGAGGTATCCCTTCCTTGGATGCCTTTGGTATCCGCAACGAGAGGAACCTGGACCAGGAAACTACCGAATCTTCAGCAACTAACGCAGGACTACTGATACGTTCCATTCAAGCCACGGCTGACGACTACTCATGGATCGTCTTAAACTGAAACGGAAGGCCCTGCGAAGCCAACTGACAAGGCTGATACCAGACATTGACGCTGCTCTTCAATGTGGTCCGATCATCGAACGGGATATTGAAATCCTCAGGCAACGATTGGGTAGTCTGCATACCCAAATGACCGAAACAGATGTCGCCATCGAGCCTTTCCTGGGGGACGACGCGGAACAAGAATACACCACCATATAGAAGAACTTCTGGACGTTATGGTGTTTAAATCGATAGCAACTTTATGTACACTATTTACAGTCAGAAAAGGGACATCGTAGCTAGGCAAAAAACGGTTGTGGTCGGCTCGTTTCCCCCGCTCCTCACGCTCATTCGGCGGTGCTCGATCCTTGGCTTGCCTTGTGGCTGCGAGTATCTATGATCACATCAGAACTCACTTTCAAGAGAAATTGAAGGAGACACATTTTTGGACGGATTCCATGATTGCGTTGTGCTGGATCCTTGGAGACGCCAACAGATGGAAGCAGTTTGTTCAGAATCGAGTGCGCGAGATCCAAGCTATAACAAACCAAAACTGGAGACACTGTCCTGGAAAGGGCAATCCAGCGGATCTCATCACACGGGGAATATCCGCTGAGCAGAGCAACTAATTACCAATCAGCTGTGGTGGAAAGGACCCACCTGGATTACAATGAATGAAGCAACGTAGCCCCCGAGGACGATACTAAAGGAAGAATTCCCTTGTGAGTCGGAAGAGATGGAAAAATACGATCTGGTACCATCAGATTACCCGGCAGATTATTTGTAAAAAGACCCATTCAACTGCTTTTTCCTTTAGAAGTTTCTACTAAGTAAATGTAAAATGAACAAAGTTCATTTCAGGGGCAGTGTGTAAAAACTTCCACGTCGGTCTAGAAGACTACGAAACAGCGGACAGAACAAGCCAAGGCTTGAGCACCACCGAATGGGCACGAGGAGTGGGGGGAACGAGCCGACCACAACTGTTTTTCGCCTAGCTACGATGTCCTTTTTCTGACAGTGTACATAAAGTTGCTATCGATTAAACACTATAACGTCCAGAAGTTCTTCTATATATGTCACACAACACTGGCACAACTCGTGACCCAATGCATATCCCTTGCTTTTGGACAAACAAGTTGTTATCAAAGGACGCAGCAGTTGAGGATAAATACAAAGTCAGCATTTCCATAAAATTGAGCCTGCAAAAAGAAAGTTGTTTCAGTGCCCATAAATTCATCATTTTTATTAGTGAACCAAGTGCAAATCTAATATGGCTGCTCCAAATGCTATAGCATAGTTCTTGAACACTGGGTTTTGGAGACATATTTTCATGTCTTGTGGGAATCTCTATGCAATGCGAGGCATTTGTAACTATGTAAAATCCCATAAAAATGCCCGCTTTAAATGAAAAGATAAATGGTAAGAAATAGGGGGTGGACTATCTTTAAAATGCGGCAGCTAAAATTTTATAAAAAAATTCTTGATAAGCGTAGGGGCACCCGCTACAAACCACCCAAACAGAAACCGATTCCCTGCAGATTGTGGACGCAGCAGATTCGCATTTCATGGTGCGGTGAACCCACAGGAAACCGCTACAAACTTCCATATCACAGAAGTCAATATTACGCACTCTGTATCGCGTCTTATCATGCGATAAACACGTGGGAACTCGCCACATGCTAGCTTGTCTCTCAGGGGATGGCGCTCACACAAAATTTTACAGTATGTGCATATTCTATAGCAATGTGTTAGTGCAAAGATAGGAAAGAAATGAAATATATCGGTGAGAAATGGTCAAATATCTGTGTTTATTGACATTGAACGACGTATGCCAAAGGTTGCATCAACAAGAGATGGAATTAAGGTCACCTTGAAGCAGTGAGATGTTGGAGCTCTCAGCTCTTTTGCAGTATAATACAACATGGTCATTGGTGAATAATAAACTAATAGAAGTACCGTAAAATACCGGACAAGCACCCACTCAAAATGTAGAGATATTTGCGAAAAAATGGGGGATGGGCGCTTGTCCGGTCATCAATTTTACATATAAATGTACTGTGCATATTTTCTCAGATCTTAGAAATTTGGATATGGGCGCTTAATGTGGAATGGGCGGATGCGCGGTATTATACGGTAGGTACATGCATTATAAGATCATTAATATTGTCATGAGTGGCAAATGATGAGGCGGTGAACAACTGGAGCAGCTAAACGTTTAATGTGGCGAACTTGTGTCAAAACAGAATAAGAATGAATGGCGAATAACAGATGTCGCAGGTGAAAGTGTGCCCCGGCTCGCCACGCGGGGCCCTTTTGTACACGGGTGGACTTCCGAAACAATCGGCGTAGAATGTTTGGCGCATAGAATATTCGAACAGAACACGACATTCACAGAAATAGCCAAAAAGTGAGTCTGCTCCCAGGCATCGAACCTCAGACCTTTGCCTTGGAGCCAAGCACAATAACCATTTGGCCATGGGCATGCTGCAATATCAACAAGAAAGAGTCACAGACCGAGCACAGATCCTTGACAGACTCCGGATCGTACAACTTACAAATTGTAAGGAATTTGTCAGAAATTAGTGAATCAAAGAAAGTATGCTAAGGCCCGTTCACACAGTTGCATTCAAGAGCGACTGCAACCACTTGCGTTTCATGAAGGCTGCTTGCATCGAGCCGTTGCTATGGCGACCCTTACAACAAATCAATGGGCAGGCAAATGCGGCGCAACGCAGTTGACATTACTGTGGGAATGAGCCTTCAGTTCTATATTACACTAGCTGAGCGAGTTTATGAGAGGCCCTGTCAAATGTCTTGGAGAAGTATCAAGAAAATGCTGTCATTTCGTGAACCACAATCATGAAGTTGATAAAACTCGTCATCTAATTCCTTATCACCTTGCCGATGCTTCAGCGTGATACAGCTAGCTTATGCCCTATGCCTACATACAGCCCTGTTCAACTACTTTCTTAGCTTGATTACCTTCTGAAGCGATGTGACCCAAGGCCACATCCCCAACTGCATGGTTAAAGAGGCTCTCCCGTACCGCATTCCAATATTTGATGTCGCATCTGCCACTCTCACAAAGAATGGTGACATCCGTTTTGTTTGGCCAGATTGCAAGCCTGGAGGAACGTCTCAAGAAACTCGAGAACCTGGTTGGCACCGACAGCCAGAGACTGGTGAGAACACGTCCTGAATGCAGTTTTCAGCGTCTTTTGTACTCGATGTAAACTCTTTTTGGCAACACTATATGTCGTTCCACCTCGAGTGTGGCCGAAGCCAATGCTGCAAGCAGAAGGATGTTATCTCGAACAATGTTCACGTCGCAAGCGTGCAAGCTTAGCAACCCCTGGTGCTCGTTCTTGTAGCTCCTCTATTGCTCGCACTTAGAGTAAAACGGGAGTGTAGCACAGTCGGAGTGGCTTCTGCAGCCCCATTCTATTGCAGAGAAAGAAGAGACTGAGTGAGACAGCTGCTCCTTCCCAGTTTTCCACTACAATGGCAGAACACAGAGCAGAGATGCCTATGGCCTGCTAGCTAGGAGAATGTCTGGCAGTACTATGTTGCACCGAAACAGAGATTCTTTCAAAAGGAAAAGAGAAACTCTTGCTAGCTGCTTTCTGCACCACGTTAAGGTGGTGCATGGTGTAGTGGTTAGAGGAGAAAACGGAGAGAAAAGGGAGGAAGAAAACAGCAGTAAGTGAAACAAAAAAACATCTCTTTATAAGCTTTCTGCCAAGGTGCTTCTGCCAGACTTTTCATCACTTGATCCCAACTCCTCTCTAACCTATAGTAATGCTAACATCATTTGGAGATAAAAGGAGGAAATTGTTTTAGCCTGCCCTTTTCCCTACAACCTCCTTTTTCTTGGAGTACCAGGTAAGTTGTGCTCGTATGTGGCGCACAAAAAGTGGACACCGAGTGTACGAAAGAATGAATATCATAATTTTGCTACAGTGACCTTTCTTGGTTGGCAGGCTCTGCGTAACTGCATCTACACTAAAGAACTTGCAAAAGATCAATAAGGATATCTGGATACAGGTCGACCCTGACTTTGAAAGAAGTGGAAGAGAAGGAAATTTGCACAGACATTTGTTTCGCGGCATTTCTAGTCGCCCTAGCTAAAACTCTATTGTGAACGGCACTGGCCACGTCATTGTTGGAGCTTCCAGAATGACCCAACCACATGCCTCCACACTCTGGTGGTTGCACTGTGCCACTCGCATCAAGCTTCACCGCTTGGTACCGGTCCACGCACGCCAAGCTTCACCAGCGTGCTCTGAGAAGCTGCTGATACGGCAGAGCACCTCGGTCAGCTTAATAGGCTCAGAAATGTTGCGCAGCAGTATTATAGCTTGACCTGTTCGGTTAGGGTGATAGGTCAATCCCTCATTTTGAAGACCAGTCGCAGAACAAAATGTAGACCTGTATTCAAATAAATATTGTGTGTTGAATGCTTGTAGATGGGAGGAGTCTCCTTGTGACAGCCATGCGGTGTTTTTTGTTGCAGTCAATGCTCACGAGCCATACCGACAGTAGCTGCCTGATGGTAAGTAACGTCTGCTCCCGCACAGTGTAGAACTATCTTTTGTTCTTAACAAGTAAATTTTGGAGGTTAGCTTTCAAAACCAATGGAGGACATCTGAGACACAGTGGCAAAGGACTGAGAATTAGGCCCTTTAATCTGCAGCCAGAATTTCAGCTCATTTGCACGTAGGCAGTGATAAACCTTCGTTGGATCGAGGAACAACTCGGCTAAAATTTTACTCTGTCACCTCTGAGCTACCAGAGTAGCTGATAGTCTCCAAGTAATGCTTTTGGGCAACACTAGAGCTGTGATTTGATGGTTTTCATCTACTTTTCTCAATGTACTGATCTGTGTCAGCCATATTAATGCGATCAACTGAGCTAAGTGGAGAACAAATCATTGTGATCTATGAAAAGAGGCCGGCGAACATAGATAACCTATTTACGAGGCCAAATAATCGAACTGCGCTTGGGTTGGAAATACAACATTGGCATGGCCAGAATTTATTGCTGACCACATTTGGAGTGCAGAGTGCAACTAAATGTGACCTTTTCTTTTATGTTAAAACTGCTAATAGTATAATATAGATGCGTCGTAAATGTGACCTTTTCTTTTATGTTAAAACTGCTAATAGTATAATATAGATGCGTCGTACGGTATGCTAGTACCTTCGGTGTCCCATGAGGTATCACTATGAGGAAGATAATGATGTGGTAAAGCCTTTCTTTAACAAAACTGACTTTACAATCGGGAACTCCAATATTGTTGCCAGCCATTAGTGAAGAGAGGCAGTACCGCGTAGAAGACAAGGCCCACCCACTATGTCATCGTTAGCGGATACCTGACCCGCCTCAAGCAGCTCAAGTTTGACGAGAGTGTGCAGCAGATGCGTGTGTCTTGACGTCGCCGCCTGCTATCATTGCGGAAGATGCATGCGCTTGCATCGTCTCGACCGCATCCGCGCCTTCCCGCAACAGCGTTTCTTTATCTTGCTTCAAAGTAAAGGTTTGGCACCTCTACATTCGGAAACCTACCCGCATCCAGCGTCACTCCGTAAGTGTCTTCGCGCCACTCGATCCTCGGGAGTTGCTCAGAGCTCAGGTTCAGTCGTGCGTCGCACAGTTGTAGTAAGTGGCTACGAGGGTAATGCACCTCCGTGTTTTTTCATTTATCTGTGCCGGAATATGCCTTTCGAAAAGTGTGTGTTTGTTTGACGGTCCGGAAATTGCTACGAGATGACATTCGTCGGTGCCAGTAATCGATAAAGTCTATGCAAAAGTATTTCTCTCTCTTCTCATTATCGGATTGCTCTTCGCTCGCCGGTGGATTGGGCAGACCTGATGGGATTGAGATGATCACGGCGGCTTTTGCTGGCACGTGAAAGGGAGCTGTGTTTTCAATTCCTGCGACTCGCGTAAAGAAAGTTAGCACCGAGTGTGGCCCCGAACGTTTTGTATAGCGCTGGGCTCGGGTAGGCTGAGATTCCTTAGAAACTAAGGTTGACTGCTACTCAGGATGTCTATGCCAGTCTGGTTGCGTTCGATGCAAAATGCCACTGCTAGGTGCCGCACTGTGGCACCAATAGACCAGAGCCGTATATACAGAGAGTTTGGCCATTTATTGGGAAGTATGGGAGTCAAATGTGGAGACGCCATTGGCTGAAAGCGTGCTGGGCGTGTTCGAGGGCGTCTTCACAAATTCGAATGTGGCCAACCAGAAGCCACAAATAATACCTTGGCATTGGTCGTGAGACACAAACTTAATAAGTGCGTCGGTGTAATTCTTGGCGACTGAAATATGCTGCATGTGATGTTTCAATCACGGTCAACCAAAATCATGGCGGAAGAGAGCGACTAGCGGAACGATCGAGATAATCCTTACGCCAGGCGCCGAGGGCCGGGAATCTGCCTCCGAGCGGTCACACGCTGTCCGAGCAATACAGAGTTCGAGCGGCACATTCATTTCTTACATCTTTCTGCATGATGATAATCGAAATGTCACGTGTACCCTATTTCAACCATGAAGGGTGAGTACATTTAACTCTTACGCGCTTATTAAAACCACATAACCACCATTAAAACCACCACTAGAGGATTCTTTTCGGCTTCTGGTTGGCCAAGAGAGCATGTCAAGCCCTCTTTCTGCATCTGGTGCAGACCTTGGCTCTGCCGGCTCCTCGCATTAACCAAACTCGCACTCTGTATACACGGCTCTGCAATAGACCACGGCTCTGCAGTTGACCACTTGGGTGAGAGGAGAGAGAAAAATGGAGCTGTGACATTTGGGCAGTTCTGGACAAACGGCCCACCTAAACTGCCCATACGTTGAGAACGGCCGTTTAGTCGTCTGCTATTGGGACCTTACCCTCTTTTACCCCTCCAAAGTCGTCAAGAGCGACCAGTTTGTTGTCAGCTAATGAAATCGGACGCATACCTTTCTTTTACCTCGCCGAATCCATCAAAATGCCCAGATGTATATGTGGATGGCGCTGCAGTTGGACAAAATGGCACCGCAGTTGGACAAAATGGCACCACCCAGAGTGCCCTTAGTGGAATCATCTATAGGCAGTATTGGTAGAGGTCCTAGGGGTTTACGAGTGTCTCTTGCGGGTGCCCGGTGACTCGAGGGAGCTCCCGAGAGAGTGACTTGAGGGGCTTCTGGACCGCAGGAGGTGTCCCAGCTGCTGTCCTCGCGCCTGTACCTGCTGGAGGCCCCGCACCTGGACCAGGTGGAGGCGAGGCTGTCCCTGCTGCAGCAGAAGATGACGCAGGTTGCCGAGAAGAAGAGCGCCCTCGAGGAGCTCGACAAGGCGGGCAAGGCAGGCGCCTTTTTCCCTCTCCTTTTGGGCCCTCTGAAATGCAGTCATGTCTCATTAACATTAACTTATCCGTTCCTATTTTCATTATGTAATGCGGATTGTTCCTGATGAGACAAAAATTACTTGTATTTACCCAGTTTGTCCCAGAAAACTTTTTTTTATGTGGCGGGGTGTCCATATTAATGAGACATTACTGTAACATTTGGGAGAAAAGTGAACCGTGTTTTTCAGCCCACATAAATAAACTATGATATGCACTGCAGGAAGCTGAAGCCCTGCAAGAACACAATACCAGTGGTGGTAATAGAATGCACAAGTTTGAAAATGTGACAATGCTCAAATCAAAAAATGCAAGATAAAGACAAAATTTCTCTACAGGCCGTCATCCACGCACCGTCAAAACAAGAAATGATGGTGTGTGGATGCTTGTGGCATTTATGCCAGTGGAAAATCACTTGGCAGCAAAAAGAAAATGTAATCTCTCTTGTTGACAAGATTTTTTTCAGCTACAGGCACTTATAATGCAATTTCTCGTTTTGGCGATGCTGTTAGGCTAGGTGGACGTCGGCTCACATTGGCTGACGCACGACCGGGAATGCAATTTTAAAATATTCTATTTTGATTGCGAGGGGCGCCGCCAAATGCCCAGCCTCCAACACGCGCTCCGTGTCTTCCGCCATGCTTTGCAGCGTGCACATGCTCTAGGCGTTGAAGTGGTCAAGGGTAGCAAGCTTGCGCTGGAGGTGTTTAAACTGAAACCCCTTGTTATTCTTAGCTATTGACTATGGACCTATGGTTTGCGCGGACCACAGTAGCCAGTCTGCCCATGGAGTAAATGCTTTCCTGACCCACGTGATGCAGGTGAACGAGCTGTACGAACTGCTGAAGAGGTCGGATGCCATGGGCAGCTCGTTGACACAGGTTGTGGAGCGTCTTGTCTGCCTTCAAGAACTTCATGAACAGGGTAAGTTGCATTGGCAGTCCTACCATTAGACCCATTGCAAAACTTGCAGTGCTGTGTTTGGCGCCCTAAGGAACGGGGGGAATGGTGGGTACAGAACCGGTTGTAGCAGACCACAGAGGATATGCAGGCAAGTGGGCAAGGGAAAGTGAGCAACCGCGCTACCCCTCTCTTTCTTCTGTGGCAAGAAGGAGCATACTGGGCTTCGCGCAAGGCCTCTTTGGGATCCTTGCGAGAGGTCTATCCCTTTAGGGGCCACTACTACAAGTACTGGAAGCCATTCATCCAATCATCCCCAGAGTCATTGGCAGTTGTGTCAGTTGTTTTTGGGATGGTCATGGATGATCAAAACTACCGTAAAATACCGGGCAAGCGCCCACTCAAACTTTGGAGATAATCACAAAAAATTGGGGAATGGGCGCTTGTCCGGTCATCAATTTTACATATAAATGTACTATGCGTATTTTCTCAGATCTTACAAATTTGGGAATGGGTGCTTAGTGTGGAATGGCCGAATGTACGGTATTCTACGGTATGCAGCTGGAAAGGAAGGCTGTGTGTGAACCAGTGTTCTGACTGAGCCATGTTTGGAGAAAACACAGCCACCATTGACTAAACATGGTCACTACAAGTGGTTGGTGCTTGTGATACTATTTACAAGCGGTGCTGGTATAACTTTTGTTATCATTGAGTCCCGAGCCAAGCTAGAGTTGCTTTTGTTTTGGCATGGCTTAATGTGTTCTAATCCATTATTATCCCACCATGACTCCATATTTTTTTATCCTATGACGACTCTCTGAAAACTAGCATGGTACCAGCAACAAAACCATTTAAAGTGACGTGAACACCTGAGATCGCAAAAGTTTGCTAGAACACGATGTAGAAACCTGGACTGGTAAACAAGTGAAAACAAAAATGTTGTCGCTGAAATCGCTGCGCAGATTGTCGTTGAAACGTGACAGCATTTTATATCGTCACGCAAATTTTCCTTTATGAAACTGCTTGGAAACTCTAGTAATAGATTTTGCATACATTTGCAATAACATTTAAAACCAATTCAAATAATTTTCTGAGCCAGCTGTCTACTGCCCACATCCCGCAACCAAGTAACGACTTCTGTTATAGTATTCCTGCAAATCAAATGTTTCTCCCTTGCTATATCTACATAAATAAAATAAGACCCTCAGTAACTATTTGCCATTCAGGAGCTAATATGCCACATCACATTAGTTAATTGGGTGCATTACTTCTGTATGCAAAATTGAAGTAGGTATATAACAGATGTCTGGCCGCCTGCTTCATTGGTTACAAACCAAGCAATGGGCACAAAAGTGCATAGGGTTCACTCGAGATTCCATCACATTTAAACGGATCCTACAAGCATTGAAAAATGGCATATTTGTGTGGTACGCCACCACGCAAAAACAAACATGCTTTTCACTTTCTACATTTTTTAGCTTAGAACAGATGTTACCAACTAAGATAGTGACCCACATAAGCAGAATGCACTATATGCCAATATTTGTTTATGACAACCATTCAGCCAAAAAATTGTTTTATTCCAGTCTATTGATTAAAAAGTCATATGCTTTTCTTTTTTTACTGTTGATTGCAAAGCTTTCACAGCCAACAAAGCCTTTTCCAAGTGTCTCAAAATCCTCCACCCGCCTTTTTTTTTTTGTTATGTGACCAGCAGTTTGAAGAATCAAGTGTTTCGCAGCTGGCCACGCTTCACTCACTTTTTCAAGGTGAAATTGGAATAGACCGTTTGCTAAATTCCCGAAGTGCCCCGGCCCGCACTCCAGGAATCATGGGGACGATGTTTCTTCAGCCCCTTACTGATTGGTAATTTCGACCACTTCCAAGGTTACAGTTTCGGGTGTAATTCGGAGTCTCCCTAAACAAGTATCATAGTGCCCAAGGACCTGTCATATCACTTCTAAAATTTCTCATCCATGTCAGCGTTTTTGATACTGTGCATGCTGTCCGCCCTTCAACCTGGCAGAGCTGCAGACATATCTCTTACATTATTATCATTTTTGTACAGCTTCAAAGACGCTGATATTAAGTTAGAAACGCTAAAAATTGTATAAACAGCCCCACTTACTCCGAGCTAAATCCTGGTTTTTGTTGTTGTGGATTCTCGGCTTTTTAAGCAATTCCTGCTGAAACAACAATCATGAGAGTGATAATATTGTAAGAGATTTGTGCAGCTCAGCCAAGTTGAAAGGTGGATTGCATGCACAGTATCAGAAATGCTGACATTGATGAGAAATTTTAAAAGTAATATGACAGGTCCTTGGACTCTATACGCTTGTTCAGGGCGACTCCGAATTACACTCAAAACTGTGTATCCATGGAATTGGTCAAAATTACCGATCACTAGGGAGCTGAAGGAACACCGTTCCCATGATTCCTTGAGTGCAGGCCTGGGGCTCATGGGAATTCAGCAAATGGTCTGTTGGCTTTGTTCAGAATGCATATCCGCGTTTAAAAAAGAATTTATACAAATTAGGAATTGCATGCATGTGCCAACTCTGTCGTGTTACGTTGGCGCAGTAAAAAGAAGCGCGAACAAATGGTAATTGCAATTTGTGTAAACATCCACTCATGTTGGTCCCGTTGCAGCACTATTTGTTGCGAAACGATTATCGACAGGATTCACAGTGCATGCTCCCGTGTTCTGCGCAGCACTCCAGTTCTCGAAGGCAGTGTCCCAGCTGGATCAGGTGCAACAGCACCTCTCCCTGGCACTCAAAAACAATGACAAACATCTGACAGAGGTGAGCTCATTAACGACAGAGTACCGGAATACTCCACCTCACCGTAACTCGGCAAATGGTGAAAGCCACAGTCTCATTGCACCAATAAATGCGACAAAGAGAGACATTACTACACTCAATCTTGCTAGTTGCGCGCAGTGCCGTCGAAGCCACGGGCAGGAAAGAGGAAGGCCGCCGTTGTACGAATTTTTACCAATGGGCTAATCTCTAAGGGGAATGAGAGCGACTTTCGAAACAGATAAAAGAGGGTGTGGGTAAAAGGAGTTCCTCCTTCCCCTGTTCTCCAACTGCTTGGGCTATGCCCTTGCCCCCGTACCCTCGGTAAGGGCATTCGTGCGCTTCACCTACATCACTCAGATTGGCTCGATGGAGCCGTGGCGTTTGCTTCTTGCCAAATTATGGTGAAACAAAGTATAGCTATGCAACAAAATGAAACCAGTGGCCTCTGCATCTCTTCCCTCCAGGAGTGTGTCAACAAGAGCAAACTGAACTCCTTTACCTTAGAAAGCCAAGCACCAACACCACCAACAGCCGGAGATGATCGCACAAAAATGGAGAAGCAGCCGATGCAGATGAACACTTCGGTTATCTTGACGGGCACTCTATACATCCTTTGCTTACATTTCAAACTTGGGGGTGGGCTCTGTATTTTAGAGTGGGTGGTTGGTTTTGAGAATGGTACAAGTTTAGGGAATGGTTCCAGTAGGAGGCACCTTCGACGAATGGAACAAATTTAAGGAGATTCTGATGGCAGCGTGTTCAGATTACGAAGCAACAGGTGAAGCCTTCACAGCCCATACCAATTTCCTGCTTGTGAATTATGTAGCCAACTTTTAACAGATATTGTCGGATATTGCGAATGAAGACACTGCCAGTGATGGAAGTGCTGCGCCAATTGCGCCAAGGACGCAATTCTGCTACATGTAGCGCCAAATTGTCATTTTACCGAAGAATTGCGCCACGCCTGCGCCAAAATAAAATGTAGCAATAAAAAAAAAAAAAAAATGAAGTCTTATCAGAGCGCGTGGCGCTACTGCGGTATTTTCCGTGCCGCAACTGTTACGCAAACTGAAACTGCGAGGGTGCATTATCATCATCATTGAAAGGAACAACGTTAGCAACATCTGAGACCAAAGCCGCAGAGGCTAAGCGAAAAACCATCCCGCTAAACAGCCTATAAAAAAAAAAAAAAAAAGGCAGAGTTTGTGGATGTTTTCAATGTTGGCTCGCCCTGTTCCCGTGCGCTAGTTACCAGCGAAGTCAAAGCTAGCGCGAGCCCAATGCTCTGTGCATTCCTGACTCGCGCATGGGCTCGTGCAGTGTGGGCACCTTACGGGCTCCATGCGCGCGCTTGTAGCTTCGGCTGCGCTCGCACCGAAGCTGAAACAAAGTATAGTTGAGTTGCACCGAACTCTGGATGTAGTGCTGGTAAAGCCTCACCGTCCTTTTCGGAGCACAAAGCACTGCGCGACTCGCGCGACTGCGGTGTCTGCTCTGCGGGTGTCGCTTCTCTGCAGCGCGTCGGTGCATGCCAAGGAGCGCACTCAACGGGTTAACTTGCCGTGATTTGATCGTGACTTCGCCAGCACATCGAAAATGAATCGGAATTTTTAAAGCGAATATCAGATACCGCAATATTTGAAGCTGCTGCCCGAAAGACAACTCTAATCTGAACTAAAACATTCCACAACAGTGAGGGTCGTTAGATGCTGCTCCAGATACCTTAAAAGAAGTGCAGGCTGATAGAACTAACTATCCTGTACGATCAGAACTCAGTGACATATTTAATTGTATTTTTTTTATCTGACGAGCAGATAAACTTTATTTAAAAAAATGTTTTTTTTTTGTGTTTACTTTGTTGAATCTTATATATCCTGTCTTAGAAATGCGACAGGCGCTGTGTGACAGAGATGGGCTTTATATAGCAATGCAGCATTATTTCATTTTCAAGTAATATGCCAACATATGCCGGACCCTGCTCCCAAAGGGCCACTACCTGCTCCAAAACAACATTTTGCCTGCTACAAGGCCTGCTCCAAAAGGTCAAATGGCGCTTCCATCACTGCACTGCAGGCAATGTAGGATGAAAAATACAGTAAATATAGCAGAATCAAGTGGGCTAAATTCTAGGAAATTTAGCTTTATTTTTAGCAGATGCAATTTTGATGAACTGTTAAAATTTCCCTGCTCCAGGTTTCAAATTACTTTATGGCAAAGGGGACCGAAATTGGATAACTCCTTACGTCGGTCAAGTACTGCGAATGATCGTTTTGTGCCAACTTGCGGTTGTAAATGAAAACTAATTGCACATTTATCACCAACATGCAGGATTTGTGCAGGTATATACTAACCAACACTCAAATTATGTCAAAATGCAACCCATCATGCAGATTTGCCAATTATGCTGCAAATGGCCTTGCTTCTGGTGAAAATAACATTGAGAACCTGGTATTTTTAATGGCTGTATGGTAGGGGCTGACAATTTTTTTGTAGATGTAAGTAGAGTCCTTACGAAAGTGACACGGAGGGAACTAGAAGCCAAGTCGCAAAGTGTATGTGTGTGGAGGGATGGAGGGAAGGTGCAGACAAAGAAAAGGCAAAAAGGAAGACAGTCTCTGCTCAAGTATGGGGATGCAAAACAACAGCAATTGTTCCTGTCTAGCCCTATTTGATGTCAAAACTGTCGCATGGTCCTCAAGTCTGTTTTGTGTGAGGAAGCTGCGGAGGGAGAGGTCATTTTCTGGTATCGTGCCAGCGGCCGCATATGCCCCGCAGGCCGTGGGTTGCTGACTCTTGCTTTATACCATCATATTTTTAAAAAATGCCTGTGAATTCTCTTTTTTTACATTACAGGTGCAGACTAACTTTGGCCAGAACATTGAAACCATCAACAAGAACATGACTTTGCTCGAAGGAAAGATTGCTGCTCTCAAGAAATGACCCTGAGTGCACCTTGCAAGATGCAATGTAAACTTTGGACTTGGATCAAATACAAGATTCAAACAGCATTGTGCAGGAAAATGTACACTTTTATTGGGCACTTAGAAGCGCAGCTTCTGGAAAAACCAGGGGTTCTTCCTGGTCTTGTACCTGAAAACACAAGAAGTTGGACTTGTAAGTTCAGTGAAATATGATACTGCTCCTGCAACAATGCACAGCAGGAAGGTGCTGGGGTGAACTAGATACGACTACCGTAATATCTCGAAATGTCAGACCCCCAAAATATAGTCCACCCCATTTTTGGCTTCACTTGCTATATTTTTTAAACACCGAAAGATAGCCAACTTCTAGTAACAGTAGTGTTGGGGTCAATGACCGCCTCGGCATAAATGCGGCTAGTTAGCTATGGTGGCATATAAGTAGGGCTCAGTGTTTTCGAAGTTTATTCTTCGTAAAATTCGGAGGGTGTTTTTTTTTTTCTTTTTTTTTTTAGTTCTTATTTTGCTGTGTGTGTGTGTGTGTTGGTGCAAAGTAGCTTAAGTTGGCATGGTTACAGTTGGTGTGTATTTGTGTTGGTGCAAAAATGTGTCACCCCAATAGTGGGAAGGCCTTGAATCATGCTGAACATTTTTTCCTGCCTTTTGTTTGGATTAATATACATTTAAATTTCTGACTTCTCGATTACTGCATATAAATTTGTCACCTATGTGGCTCTTGACCGAGCAGGCGGGACCTTAAATCAATGTCACCCGCTAGGGTGCAAACCACCACAGTGAACTGTATCTTCTGCCAGCCAGCTTTCACTCGTTACATAAACATGAATGGTTGTCTTTGAACATGGGAGAAGTACCAAAATGGTAGTGTGCTGGTGAGTTTGTGTAGATTGCCAGAACGGCTGGACAAACTTAACACATGCAAGCCTCTCGAACGTATAACACAACACTAGTGAATTCTTCTGTCAGAGGGGCACTAAAGTGGATTTTGAGATTGTTGTTTTAAGCCATAAACCCTACCTATGTGCCCTAACCATTTCATAAATCTAAAACTATGCATTGCCTTCTTTAAAGGGGGCACTGCAACAATTTTCGGACTTTGGCCAATTAATTGCAGGAATCTGTCTATGTCACAGAGTAAGGACCAGGAGACCAGTTTTTCTTACATGCGCTAGCCTCTCTCTCTATATATATACTGTAAACGCCAAAATTTTTGCGAGGACCTAATTTTCGCAAATCGCCTACAATTTGCGAAAAATATGTCTCGCGAACAATTCGGACATAATGTGAACGCTACGGAAATTACACTCAATTCGCGAAAATTAGAACCCGCGAATAATTTCAAATTTTCAGCTTTGGCCCGATTCGCAAAAATTTGAGCCCGCAAAAATTACGTCGGTTACAGTATATAAAAAAACTTAAACAAATTGAAGGACACAGTTGTGGATGACCTGGTCTACCCCACCCTTCACCCTCGACTGTAAACTTTGCAAGGTGCGATTCAGCTGCAATGGGGCACCACACCCACTTAGCATCGTTGAAGGTTGTGGCGAGTGATTGAGAGGGAAACAGAGACAGTTTCCCATAGCAAAGATGAGAGTGACTGAGAGGTAGTGGTTTTGATGACTTCTGATAGATGGCGTCACGCAAAGTTGCATATTCCTAACAACGCAACACTGCAGTTTCGATGACCGCTACACGCAGTAGCAGATGGGGAAAAAAAAAATTTTCTTTCCTACGTTTCAACACGGCGGAGTCGCAGTATTTAAGGTGAGGATGGCACACTTTCTCTCATCTGTGCGGAGATAATATAAAAAGTACAAGTTGCAAGTTCCTTCAACATTAATATCGTTGCCTTTAACGTCGAGGGAACTCGGCCCCCCTGGTTCAAGCAGAGCGCAACTTAACGGGCGAGCAACAACTGCCAAGCGGAGCAGTGGCCTCACCTCTCCTCAAACTTGGCCTTGACCTCGCGCCTGGACTTGCGCCGCTTGGCCGGGTCCTTCCAGGTCTCCTTGTTCACCACAGACTTGTCAAACTGGATCTCGACCATGTAGCTGTAACACGGGGGATGCCACAATCGAGACTCGTTCCACTGCCCTCTGGTTCAGGGCTCCTAGCAACTGTGGTGCTAGAAGCACCCAATAGGATGCTGAACACACCAGTCAGATGCATTCCAGGCACTGTACTAGCAACACAGGGGTTCCACGGAGTATCCTCGGGTGTTCCCTAATACCCACGACCATCACTTTTAACATGATGGCGTCGAGGAGCTTGTGTCACAGAAAAGAAAATTGTCTAGTTACTGCGTTCAGTAGGCTCAAGTTCAATGCAAATTAAAAACCAGTCATAAGGTCGTTGCAGGGCCCCTTTTAAGGCCACAAAGTGATTAAAGTTAATTTATAATTGAATGCTAAAAAGAAAATAAATGATGTCTCTGAGAGATTGTTCATTTAACATGATTTCGGATAAACTAGAACCGAGAGGAACAGCCCAAAGTTGTTAAGAGAACCTTGGAAACCTTTAACATCGAACCCACGAAAATGCCTGGATAAACTAGCTTTTCGGCTGACCGAGCGACAGAGGGCGCCGCCTCAGTCAAAGGGAACACCCACGATGCAGGAAAGCAGCCGGGAATGAGCAACGACTCGTCCTATTTGAGGATCGTCATAAGGCCGTCTCGTGGGATTGCATCAAAGTGTGAACGACCATGTGAAAACGCCGGCACAATCCATTTGGTATTCTTGGAACATCCCAGACCCACGTAGAGTATTTCCTTATCTTTTATGCACCATTCTTTCACCGTGGGCTTGAAACAATTCCGACAATGTTAGCGACGACCATTTCTCGTCGACGGCGCGGCGTAGATTCAATCTTGCAAATACCGCAAAACCTCCACTGGTCACACACGGGCCTGCAGTGTTTCCAGGTCAACCCAATAGGTGGCATTAGCGTGTTCTCTCATTGCATGTGGTCACTATCGTTGCCGACAGAATGAGGACGACTGGGAATGTTTCTAGAACGTCTCCACGGCACACGCTGGAGACTGGGACGACCGAAGCCCCTCCTTACTGTCGATCGAACTCCCGACGCAGATATGCAAAGCGGGCTTAGTCGCTGCGGTTGCTCCTTAAAGCGGCGGGGCATGCACGCACTCCAGAGACGATGAGAGAAGCCATCGGACTCACCGCGTGGGCATGAGGTGGTTGTAGTTGTACACCTTGAGGAAAGGCTTGATTTTGTTGTGCTTGGTAATCTTCTTCTTGCCCATTTTGCGAGTCACCTTGCGGGGATACCGGTCGATGCCGGCTACCAGCGCGTGACCGTACTGCTTGTCAGGCGTCCCCTCGTCGTTGTTCTGGGAAGGAGAAGGCTTGTCAACTGTGATTTGCATAGGTAAATCGTGCTTGCGAAACAATACTTTCTCAACACGCCAGAAAAGTGGAGGCATCCTCAAGTTCTGAGGCGGCGATATGTGGCAGACAGCAATGGGGGCTCTTGCAAAGAAAAACGGGAGAAGCCTCTCGCGTCCCTCGGGCAGTGGAGAGTGCCTTTTGTGAGACGGTTTTGTGGACTGCTAAAAAAGAGTGTATTGTTTTTTAACCTGTAAGTAAAGTGAGTTACTTTTTTTTCTTTTTAATACTAATATATTCAATGAATACTAATGGCCTGGCCGCACCACCAAACCAGCACACTCAACTACAGCCGAGAATGGGCTGCAACTTCCCAAGGGTACGGATAAATAAAGTAAAGACCCGGGTCCGGTGAGGTTCGAAGTTTGTGCGGCAGCCGCAGCATGGCCAACTCCATGACGTGTGCGGCAGTGGCAAGTTATGATGCTGCTCTTGGCAAAATCCTATTTTGCAGTCAAGGATGTCCAATATGTATAGCCCCCCCTGCATGTCACCGAACATGTTAATGTTTCGCTTACATGCGTTGCGTGAAGGAGTTCTTACGAGATTTGGTTGTCAAAGGAAGAGCCAATGTTCTTGCATTTAAAATGTGCATGTTTTGATCAAATACATAACTAAGCAGGTCTGAAGTAATCTAACTTACTACATAAAAGCACCGCCCTGCAAAGAAGTCAGTGTTTTTTTTTATTTAATCACAGTTTTGGGAGTGATAGAGTATAGCACTTTCAGGCTTTGCAGTTTCAAACGAGTCTAGTAGCAACTAGGGGTCCAAGCAGGGTGCAGATCATGAACGTTATGACCAGTATTCGCATTCCCCACGACAACATGCATGGAACTAGAAAGAGCACGACCCTACAAACAACAATGCAAAGTAGTAATGAACGCTCTGCAAAACCAGGTGCCACCAGTGCGTGTAGTAGCACTCATATTTGCCACGACAGTCCCTTACAGTTTTCACGTGGAGGCCGCGAGTAAAATGTGGGAAAACTTGAGGAACACCCACAGTATGCAACATTTCAGTGCGCCGTTTACAGTGCGTGCTCAGCGTGGAATGCACGTAGCAAAAGCACTGTGCAAGCTCGTCGTTTCTGCACTCACCCGGCAACCAGAAACTCAGCTTTCGCCACCAGTGAATAGCAGTTATAAATCTGAATAACATGGATGCATAAAATGTTTTCATTTGTGATCATGAACGAGTAGCCTAAGAAAACCAGATTAACGGAGTTCCTGGTCACTCTGACTACGACTGCAAACTTCCAGCGATACCTCACTGCCAATGGCAGACGGAGCAATAAGCTTGGCAAATTAAAACCTCGTGAGAGCGAATCGTTTGGAGGTTGAGACAAGGCACTTACTTTGACGATGACGGCTTTTCTCCCCGCGTACTTGCCGCTGAGGATCAGCACCACCTTGTTGGGTCGCATAATCTTCCCCATTTTCTAGAACACAAAACACGCAAGACTGTGAGAACTCTCCAGGATTTAAGAAAACATACACCTTATGCAATGATCAAAAGCACAGCCTCGTGTATATACCGTGTAGCACATCAATATTCCTCTCTTCACTTCGCACTTAGCGTGCAGATGACCGAGCGAAGCCTTCACCGGTGTCACAAAACATCTCGAACTTAAGTCATGTATTGAATCTGTTCAATATATGTTTTTGCCAAACTTATTATGAATCTATGCTACAGTCCTGTCTTACTGCGGGGGTGATCATATAACGCTGGTTTTCGATTATTTTGGATTAAAATCGTACCTACGTTTATTTGGCCGTGTCCCCTCCCGGAGATCTGTGGTCGAAGAGACGTCTCGCGGGATTCTCGTGTGGTACGAGAACTAACGAGAGTAATGGAGTTGCTTGAAATGTGTAGTTTCGGTTTGGCGCGTTTGGCGCTTCCCGTTACCGTATTTATCGTTGGAGCAGATTTTTTTTCCCTGATTGTTTATATTATTGCTCGTTTTAAAGTTCTCAATACTTTTAAATGTACATAATAGTCCAGCTGTGCATTATAAAGGCAGCGGGATAATAAATTATTAGAAATATTAGGAGTGCAGTATTACCTACCTCATTAAGTATTATATATTCTGGTCAATTTTGACAAATTTTATGACAATACCACTGATCAGAGCCGATTATATGGATCTTTAACGACGTAACGGTATCAAAAAATGAGTGTTCCAAGCGGTTCCTAAAGATGGCGGCACAAGGAGCACATCACGTGACAAAACGTCATTTAATTTAATTATAGAAATGAACAAAAACATAAATCAAACGAATTAAACGTCAACATGACGTTATTGATCACGTGGTACACACTGAGCCGCTGAGCCATCCCATTTGCCCATTCGGCGAAAAGAGAAAAAAGTTTCCCCAGCGCAAGCCGCACCGCGCGCCGCCAGCGGCCTTTCACTTGAAAATGGCGGGGGGTGGTGTTATGCAGCGCTTTGGGAAGTGGTTTTGGAACGAAGATGTTTGGTTACCTCCCAACACCACCTGGGCGGACATTAAGAAGACGGATAAAGTGAAATATGCCCAGTTCGACGACCTCTACTACGGCTTCGTCGTGGCTCTAGTACTTCTCGTAATCCGGTATACGCTTGAAAGGTAAGGCCTAAGTTTGCAACAGCTCCCGTAATGTGCTCGCCTCGCGATATGTTCCGCGATGGAAGTTCGCTTCCGCCGCCGTGTTTAACCGAAAAAAAAAAAAGACATTTTTTTTTTTCGTTTCTACGATTTGGCGCGGTGAACGATTTGCAACGTGCAAACGCTCACGTTTGCTCACCTCAAAGACACCCAACCGGGTTTCGTTAACAAGGGCCGGCAAACTCAACTCTTCTCGCGTTTCGGCGCAAACGAAAAAATAAAAAAAATAAATAAAGAACCTCGCAGGAGATTCGGCTGACGAGGTTTGGTGACCGCGATTTTATTTCCGATTCAGCGTGCGTGACCGGAACATCGCTAGTGCCTGCCCCCGAGTTACCTCAGCGAGTCGAAAGACGGACGAACTGAGTCATTCATTCCGGATTATCGACATGAGTCGTGCCGCGATTTCTTGTGGTGATAACAACGAACGCGCGGTCTGCGCAGTAGCACACCGAACTCGTGTTGGTTCTGAGCCACCGGCTGTGGGAATCGCGGCCGGGGTTTTTCTTTCTTTTTTCCTTGTGGGTAGTAGGGGCCAACACCCCGAACAACACGCAGCTTGCGGCGGGGTCACCACCACGGCGCGGGGGTGTACAGGGAGTGGCCGCCGTTCCCTCTCGCGCGTGTTGGCGGCTGCTGCTGCTGCTACCAAAAAGGCAGTCTCCACTTTCTTCATGCTGTTCGTTTGTTTTCGCATCCCCGCATTACGCATTGCCTCCGGGGGGGCCGAAATGTAGGCGGCTCCGGCCGGTAGCCCTTCCGGACTTCCGCCGCGATCAAGTATTCCCCTAGCGTTCCCGCCGCCAAGCCGATGCGATTTGTTGCTCTTTGCGTGCTTCATTGTCGTTTTGTTATTTGTGTTGTGTGCAAAACATTGTAGTTGTGCGACAACACAGGCCTCAGGTCTGGGCCAGTGGCCTTTCTGTGGTGTCGCAACCCTCCAGGATTGAATAAAGATATTAGTATAGTATTATCATACGTTGCGCGTAAAAAAAAAAAGACAAAATAAAAAAGTTTGAGGTTTATGCCGGTATGCGTTGTCTCGTGGGGTAGCGCCTCGGAAGTGGGGCGAGTGAGAGGAAGGCGAACAGGCGGTCTACCGACCGACATAAGCTGGTTATGGGCACGCGAGAGATATTGCTTCATTTTTCGACGCAAGTGCGCGTGAGAGGTCGCGAAGGCGAGAGTCGTTGCACTGTCGGGCTGAGGACGGCCGAAAACGACGAAAAACTCGGCTATTCGGCCTGTTTGTACTGACCGTCGTGTGTTTTGAATTTATCCCGCAACTGTTAAGATAGACCGTCCCGTCTCTAAAATCGTCTCCAAATTAAAAATAAATAAATAAATAAATAAATTGCGGCTGATGAAGTGCACTTTTTAAAAAGTGCTTTGTTACTTGCAAGTTAGTTTGATCACCCTGTTGCTCTTTAGGGGAGTGGGCCTGTTTGTTTTTTTCCTATCTTGTTTCATTTGTTTCTCTAAAGCAGTCTCATGTCCCCGTTTTTATCGGGGGCGGCAGAGATTGTGCGAGGAATGTTTTCTGCCGATATCTGTAATGCCTGTCAAATCGCTTGCTTTCCCCGTGCTCGTCTAATCTGGTATGACTCTCCCAAGCGCGTGCGGTGATAGCCCGGGAAGGTCGTTATCGCGTTCAAGACAACTGACGTTTGCGAGGGGATATCGCCCGCAAAATCACGCTTTTTGGAAGCGGGTACGAAAACCAGAATTTGTAAATGGTTTCCGCAAGATAAAACTAAAGCAGCCCAGTCGACTTTATAGGTCGTATATATGATCAACGTAGCTGCTGCGTCTCTTTATTACTCTGACCCCCGTTTTTCTTTACTATGTTTTTTATTTAAGAAAATAAGCTGTTCTTTTTTTTTTTTCGTGAGTTGGGTAAAATAAATTTAAAAAGTACTTAAAGTATGAAGTCAATCATGGTAATTAATGTACTTCAAGTATAGTAGTAAGTAAACCAGGCACAATGTACTTGAAGTCAAGTACTATTAATACAATGTACTTATTTTTTTAACTGGTATGCATTGCCCAAGGGGTAATGGGGGTGCATCAGTTATTTCCGGAAATGGCGGCAAATATTGAATAAAGTAGTGGCCACAGCGGAGTCATTGTTTTACTTTCGCTGACAAACTGTTTAGCACGGCCAATTTTAAGGCACTTATTTGTTGACAGATCATCATTTAGCTATACAAAAATAACGAGATCTAATTTGGGGAATGTATTTTGAAGTAGGCAGTTGTACTTTCCTTGGAAAGCACCAGGAAAAAAAAAACTTTATTTAAAGTACAAGTACAGAGCATTCCAAAAACAAATTTACAAGATTTTTTTCACCACAAAAATTAACTAGAATTTGAGAAATGTTGTTCAAAAGTTACAAGTGATTTTCTAAATACTTCAATGGGAAAATGGCGGCCAACAGAGCTCTCAAATACGTGGAGCTCTATGGTGCCAGAAACCGAAAACAGGCAAAAATAAGCCCCATTTTCTCTTTGAAATCTTCGAAAAATTGCATACCTTTTGAATAAGATGTCAGTTCAGTTTGAAACTTTGGCTCTGGTTCAAACCTCTAGCGCTACCTTTAGGCGGAGAATGCGCATTCAGTGATGCATAGTTTTATTTTTGCCGTGAAAAAACCCTGCAAATTTTTTGAGGGACAACCCTGTACATGCTCAGATAATGTGCTTCAAATAAAGTACAAGCTTTTTTAAACCTTCTTGAAGTTGTACTCAGTGTAATGTACTAAAAGTACTTCCAACACTGGTGGTGACTAAGTATGTTTTAATAATTGTTGTCAGAAAATATTGAGAAAAAACAGCTTCTTGAGAAGCTGTGCTGATAATTGCTTTTATGTAGCTCGGTAAAGTTTTTAGTAAGACTTGTTTACAAGTATGCTGGTTAACTTTTAGTTATAAGCGAGCAGATATCCTTCACTAAAGGCTTGTCGGAAAAGAGAGAAAAAACAGCTTCTCGAGAAGCTGCACTGATAATCACTTATGTGACTCTATTAAGCTTGCAGAAAGTAAGTAGTACTTGCTTACTAGTTAACTTTTAGTTGTAACTAAGACAGCAAATATCTTGGGTATGGTCGAGGAGGGTCATATGTTCTCGGCGATGATGATAGGAATGTTTTTTGAGAATTTGAGAAATCGGCCAGGTTTCTCGTTGGTGTTTTGCCGATGGGATTTTGCTGCGAAAATGCAATGTTTCATTGTGTCTTCATTGGAACGAGTTATCCGGAGAAAGGTATGGCGAGCCAGACGGGTTTGTGTGTCGAGCTACAGAGAGCAGACGCTAGCTCTTTACGAAATGGAAACACTCGCTCGGCAACAGAAAATGTAGAAAAAGCCAGGTAACTGTAGTTGTCTAGCCATCGCGTGGGATCATCGTATTTCCACCTCTACTGTCAAAAAAGTCAAAAGAATGCTTTTTTTTTTTTTTTTCACAAACTGTTACTATGCAACAAAGTCACGCAAGATATTTTTACATGTTGCTGCTCTTGGTGGTGCACTCGTAAGATTGTGCAGGGAAGTGTGCAAGTTAATGGCAATTAGTATGTAGTTTAACTTTACATGCTTAGAACGCTCAAGTTTTAGAACTGGAAATATTTCGGCCACAAAGCATTGTGATGCTAACAATAATGGTTTTGGCCAACGAAACTCTTTGCGCCGTAAGACCCCCAATGTTGTCATCATCTGACTAACAATATTTTTTTTTTACAATATACAAGCAGCGATTTATTTTCGAGCTGTTAGTTGAAATCGCTATCGGCCAACATCAAATGTATTGGCATAATTTGTAGCGAACGCATGAATGAACACAAACAAGTGTTCGTAAACGAAAAAGAAACACATGAATAAAATCAATATAACAGATATTTTTTTCTCTTTTGCTCTTTCGTGTTTCTCTTTCGTTTGTCACATACAATCATCTATCAACACATTCAACTTTCCATACGAATGAGTGATCGGCTGTTGGAGCTGTGTCAAGTGAGAAATGCGTGGCATTGCAAAAAGCGCGTGATGTGCCATTTCGAAGGAATGCTCGAGAGTCAAGGAAATGCAGAAAGCAGCGATCGCTCCGTGGCATGTACCGAGATTGTAGTTTTTTTGTGTGTCCCTTTATGGGACTGTTTGAAACGAGCGTTGAAGGTTCGTTTTTCGTCCTGCTTTAAATTCTGCCGCAAGCCTCTGGAGGCACGTGTGTTGGGAATCCCTCAGTGTGACTCCTGACATTTCGCAAAGCGAAGTTAGTTTTTGTAGGGCTTTGAGAATGCCAACTTTCTTTGCGAAACATTTCTGTTGCGATGCTTTTTGTTGCTTTTCTCGTGAACCAAAGTCGAATAACTATTAAAAAAAAGTATTTAACTCAATGTTTTTAAATCTCTAACCAGTTCTCATATGCTTAGCAAACATAAAGGAACGGAAAAAATAAAAAGGCAACTAAGCTGGTGCACACTGTGCAACACAATTAACAAACAAAATACTGTCATTTTGTGGGGTTTTCTTCTCTTTTTGCATACAATTCTACCTGTTAGATTAGCACCCAAAACAAGCTCTTTCTACCATGTTAGTAGTTTTAATGACAACCTTCAAATTCTAAGAATGGAAAACCGGCGATTGCTTGTTTTCACTAACAGTGTCTTTCTAGGTATGTTTTAGCTGGCAGAATATCACAAAATTTATAGAAACCGCCATATGTTTTAAAAATATTTTAGGCTTTTTTTTTTTTTTTGGTGGCTTATTTTTAGCATGTGCAATGATGCAGGTGCGACGTACAGCTGCCATGCTGTTTTCGTAGGCTCTATCACGGCCCGTACTCCTCTAAAGGAAGTCTCTTTCTTTAGAGGCTTTCTTAAATTGTAATGTATCCTACCCTTCCCTATCACCCTAGTCTTTCTTTTTATTGCATCTCATTCAACGTTAACTGCATCTTCTGCAATAGTG